AAAAAAACTCCATACCTATTGGCAGTCATTCCCCATTTCTTTCCAGAATTCTCTTGCTTTCATCCCTAGGCAACCACTACTTTGTATCTATAGATTTGCCTCTTCTGAACATATCCCATAAGTGGAGTCACATAGTATGTGTTTTTTTGTGGCTGGCTTTTTTCACTTAGCAGAATGTGTTCCAAGTGCATCCATATTATAGCCATGCATTCATATTTCATTCCTTTTTTTTATTTATTCATGAGAATACACAGAGAGGAGAGAGAAGCAGAGACACAGGCAGAGGGAGATGCAGGCTCCATGCAGGGCACCTGATGTGGGACTTGATCCTGGGTCTCCAGGATCACACCCTGGGCTGAAGGCGGCACTAAACCACTGAGCCACCGGGGCTGCCCCATATTTCATTCCTTTTCGTTGCCGAATAATATTCTGCAGTGAAATATTTTCTTTGTCATTTCATCAGTTGATGTACATCTGAGCTGTTTCCACTTTGGGGCTATTATGAATATTGTTGCTATGAACATTTGTGTGTGAGTTTATGTGGACATATGTTTTCATTTCTCTTAGGGATATATGTAGAAATGGCATTGCTGGGTCATATGGTATTCAGCATTTAGTCTTTTGAGGAACTGCCAGATGGTATCAAGGTTGCTTTTTCTCCACATAGTTGTCAATGCTTGACCTATCTTTCTGATTATGGTCATCCCAGTAGGTATAAAGTGGTATCTCATTGTGGTTTTGATTTGCATTTTCATAATGGCTAATGATGTTGAGCATCTTCTCATGTACTTACTGGTTGTTGGTATATCTTCATTGTAGAAATGTCCACATAAATGTTTGCCCACTTTTTAATTGAGGTATTTTTCTTTTATAAGAATTCTTTATATTCTAGCTCCAGTTATCAGATACATGATTTACAAATGTTTTTTTTCCCATTCTGTGGGGTTTTCAATTCCTTAATTGTATCCCTTTTTTAAAGATTTAGGGATCCCTGGGTGGCTGAGCGGTTTAGCACCTGCCTTTGGCCCAGGGCATGATCCTGGAGTCCTGGGATCGAGTCCCACATCGGGCTTCCTGCAGGGAGCCTGCTTCTCCCTCTGCCTGTGTCTCTGCCTCTCTCTCTCTCTCTCTCTCTCTCTCTCTCTGCCTTTCATGAATAAATAAAATCTTTAAAAAATAATATTGATTGATTGATTGAGTTGATAGAGAGAGACAAAGAGAGCATGAGCCAGGGGAAGGGCAGAGACAAAGGGAGAGAGAGATTCACAAGCAGACTCAGCCCTGAGCTCTGAGCTGGATATGGGACTGGATTTCAGCATCCCAAGATCATGAGCTAAGCCAAAATCAAGAATTGGATGCTCAAACTGACTGAGTCACCCAAGTGCCCCTTAATTGTGTCCTTTGAAGCATAAGAATTTTTAATTTTGATGAAGTTCAATGTATCTGTGTTTTTGTTACTACTTGTGCTTTTGGTATCATACCAAGGTCACAAAGATTTACTCCTTATTTTCTCTTAAGAGTAGTATAATGTTAGCTCTTACATTGAAGTCTATGATCCATCAGGAGTTAATTTTTGTGTGTATGAGGGAGAAATTATAAGCTTTTATGGCTTACTTTTTTCCTTGAGAGAGAGAGAAACAAGCAGACTCCTGCTGAGTGGGAAACCGCCCCCCCCAATGCGGAACTTGATCCCAGGACCCTGAAATCTCAACCTGAGCCAAAGTCAGATGCTTAACCGACTGAGCCATCAAGGTGCCCCTATCCTGTTATCTAAGTTTTAACATTTATATGAATTTATTTATATGTTACTAAGGGACTGAATATTTCATTTTATATAAATGTATTAATTTAAATTCAACGGCTGGTAATTCAGTTATTGGAAAATTTTAAGTATGTTTGGAATAACTCGGGCATGAAAATTTACTTTTAAGCTGTAAATTTTATAAAGCCTGAGTATTTCTGGTGCAAATATAGTGTCCAAACTGAATGTTCTCTAAATATGATTTAGATCACACTGGATTTTGAGGACTTAATATAAAAAAGAGTGGAAAATACCAATTTTTTAATTGGCTACATGATGAAATGATAGCATTTTGGATATATTGAATTAAATAAAAATATATTGTAAATTAAATTTAAAAATATATTGTAAAAGTTAATTTCACCTGTTTCTTTTTCCTTTTCTCATGTGGCTATTAGAAAACTCACATTTACATATGTGGCTTGCATTAAATTCCACTTGGCCAGCACTGTCTGAGAAGCTGTGCCACAGAAACTTTGAAGAAAGGGGCCCATTTCCAGCTGCATGATTTTAAGCAAAAGTCCCTTGAAGGAAGATTCAGTATCCTTATCTATAAAATAGGGATGATCATTGTATCTCCCTCACAAGTTTGTTAGGAGGGTTAAGTGAATGAACTATGAAAATAAGTTGGGCCACTCCCTAGTACATAGTTATTGCTTAATAAATGTTATTTATGATTATTCTCATTGTTACTGCTACTATTGCTGTCTTCAATTTATCAAGTTTCTTTTTTAATTCTGGAAGAATTTTTGACTGACGTATTAAATCTATATTTTTGCTTAGAACTCAATATTTTTATTTTTTAAGATTTGGTCTTTCCCAATCAGGAATCCAACATAACTTTAGCCCAATTATTTGTTATTCCTTTATTGCATCAATTCATTAAGATTTATTTACTTATTTATTTGAGAGAGAGAGAGCTCACACATGAGTAGAAGAGGGCAGAGGAAGAGGGGGAAAGAATCTCAAGCAGACTCTGCACTGAGTGTGGAGCCCAGTGCAGGGCTGGATCTCACAACACCCTGAGTTGAAACCAAGAGTCAGACATTCAACTGACTGTGACACCTAGGCACCTCCTTTTAAATATTTATTTATTTATTTTTGAGAGAAAGAGTGAGTGCATCATCTTATTAAGAATACTTAGACCTAGGTGTGTCTGGCTGGCTCAGTCAGTGGAGCATGCAACTCTTGATCTTGGGATTGTGGGTTCAAGCTCTATATTGGGTGTAGAGATTACTTAAAAATAAAATCTTAGGGGTGCCTGAGTGGCTTAGTCAGTTGAGCATCTGCCTTCACCTCAGGTCATGATCCCAGAGTCCTAGGATCAAGCCCTGTATCAGTTTCTCTGCTCAGTGGAGAATCTGTTTCTCCCTCTCCCTCTGCCTGCTGCTTCCTCCTGCTTGTGTGCGCTCTCTCTCTCTCTCAAGTAAATAAATAAAATCTTTTAAATAATAAATAAATTCTTAAAAAGAAAAAAGAATGCCTAGCACCTAATACACATTCAACTAATCTGTTTCAGTGAGTTACCGAGTGCTTTTTGAGGCTGTGTTTTGTGTTTGTATACTGCAACTCCACTAACCTTACTTTTTTAGCACCAGCAGGCCTCTTTGTTGATCATTTTCTAGTTGTAATATCATCATTTATTTAAAAACAAGTGGTACTTTTCCATTTCCTGTGTTTATTATGTCTTACTGTTTTTCCTTCTCTGATAACTATTACGTGCATTTTCTCTATATTCAATAGAAGTAGTGTCTAGAGTATCTTTCCTGTTGTTTTTTTTAAAAGAGTGTAAATGTGATTTTTAACACTTGGTATAGGATATTATTTGGAAAGGCCCTATAGCTTTAAAGTTTTGTGTTGTTTTTTTAATCAGTAATGGCTATGGGCTTTTTTCACTACACATTTTCAGTTTTCTGTGTCTTTCCTCTCATGAGGTCTATTTGCTGATGCTTCTTAGTATGACGCATGTGCTTGCTTAGATGAAATCCTCTTTGCTTCTGAGCTGGGGAGTCAGATCATCATCTGTTCAAATAGCCTAAATCAGCTCTAAGCTGAGGTGTGAGGAACTCCTTGATGGATAATGTACATGAGGTTTTGTACTTGAGTTTGTCACATGCATTTGGACTCTATGGAGCAGTTTTTTATCTTTCCCAATTCTTGTTGAAATTGGAGGTCATTATCAATGACAGGTGATTTTCAGATAAGTGAGGTCCTGTTGCATTAGGCAGAGTTCCTGACAGTATTTGTTAAATGGATGAGAATAAATGATAGGGCTTAAATGCAGAGCCCCGGGGGTGCTGTTATTCCTCCACAGTCTGTTATTTATTATGACAATAAACACCGCATCCCATCCCCATTTGACCTTTCTCAGAAAGGACCACTGACTTGTAGGAGGAAAAAATCATTTGCTACAGACAAATGAGAAAATAGCTCATGACTTGCATTGTAGTTTTGAGAGAGAGAAAATACAACTTTCAACCTACCTGCTTTTAGATTTATAGGGAACATGTATGTTTTTAAAGATCATTATAGAGAGAACCTTCACTATCTGGGATTTCATATTGGAATCCTTACAGTTACCAAGTTGAAATGGAAGTGAAATTCATTTTAAAGCAAAAAAAGAAAAAAAATCACCAAAGAAACAATCCATCTATGGAATTAGCATTATGCATCCAAACTGAACATTCCTCGTTCCTATTTATGGTCCCTGTTTTTCCTCTTCTGTACCTCTGCTGAAGCACTGCCTCCTGCCTGATGGCTGGCTGTTCATCCATGCACCCATGCATCCCTGCATCCATGCATCCATCCACTCAGTAGTGGCTGGTGAATATCTTCTGTATGCCTGGATCTGGGATGTATAGATATGCCCTCGATATCTCTCAAGATGCAGCTCAAATGCCCCCTCTTCCAGGCAGCAAATGTTTTCTTTGATTCCTTATCCCTACCCCACAAACTTAGAACTGCTCTCCCCCTTCTCTGAGTGCCCATAGCACTTCAATACTTCTGTTTTCGAGCATGGTGCTACATTCTACTGGATGTTTTGATCTACTGGTATTTGTGCCTTATCTCTGTCAAGAGGAGAGTTGAGCTGTGCTCTGCTCTGCATCTTTCTCCACCAGGATGCCTAGGGCTGTCCTGGTTTGTGACCATTACCTAGAATCTCCTCTGTCTCTTTTTTATATTACTCCTTCTCTTCCAGGGCTAAAGTTGCTGCAGCTGATGGGCCTGCAGGGATCCCAATCCAGACCATCACCCCTGTGAAACACACAGTAAAAATAGACAAAGATGCCCTCCTCCAGGACTATGGATTTCACATTTCTGAGAGCCTTCCCCTCACAGTGGTGGCCGTCACAGCAGGTAGGGGCTGACTGGGAGACAAGAAAGGATTTTGGCTTCTCAGGGTGGGGAGAAACAGCCCTGGATCTCTTCCCATCTCTCTGTCCTAGAATATAATTTTGAAAATGCCATCCCAGGAGGTTAGATAGGGCATATCTAATTCTGACCTAATTCTGTCTAGAGCTTTGTACCTTCCTTTGGTGCAGAGAGGGAGGAAGCCCCAAGTGCACTTGCCGATCTGAACCCCAGGCTCCTTCTGGCCTCAACCTGGCTTTTGCCCACCCATGGCTCCCTGGCCAGTCTCAGGGCAATGACAGTATTTGGGTCAGCTTGCCCTCCTCTCTGAAACCCTACATGCTCCACGCTGGGGAAAGTTTCTGGCCAGAGAGTAATAGAAATTATTGATTTGTTTTCACTTGAGTCTTTGTAAAATACAGGCTCTATCAGGGTGAAGAAGAGCAGGCTGGAAATGTCTACTGTTTGTTTTCATACATCAGCTATGTATTGATGTTAGATCTGGAACTAGTTAAAATCTACTAATTTCAATTTACACACACACACACACACACACACACACACACACACACACAGTTCTTTAGAGATGAATGTAGTAGATTCACTGGCCAGGTCTTTTGATTCAGGGGATTTCCACTAATTTTCTTCCCTAGGACAGTCTCCTAATATCCTCTGAAGGTGATGGATGGTAGGTACATTATCCATGTTTTGTAAACAGGAAATAGATCCACGGGAGCCCCAGGCTGGCCAGGGGAGTGAAGAGGGGGGTGAGCTAGTGCCCTGGGGACTGAATCAACCTGCCATTCAGTTATGCTGCTGTGACCCATGAGGTCTGGGTCCTCCTGGCCTGAAGACCAATTACTTCTTCTCTGTCCAACAGGAGGCTCTGCTCACGGCAAGCTTTTTCCTGGTGATCAGATCCTCCAAATGAACGACGAGCCTGCGGAAAGCCTTTCCTGTGAACGAGCAGTCAATATACTGAGGTACTAAATTGCTTCCATTATCTGAAGAGTCACACAGATTATCACAGAGCAAAGACGGGTGACAGGAATGACATAATTGATCTCCTGTGGTTTTAGTAGGTAGGGTCCAGGCTCCTTTAACGTGGAATTTGAGAATTCCATCTTGGTCACTGTGTGCTCTCTTTCATCTACCTAGAGAAGGGATGAAGAGGCACTAGGGTGCTATATTTCTCAACCCCCTGCTATGCTAGACACCGGACTGGGTACTGCAGGGGTTGTAGTTATGAATAATACAGGGGCTTTACCTGGTAAGGATTTCTAGGATTGTTGTAACATATGCCAAAGATTGGACTAAATTGATGCTGAATCTGTTAGCTCTTTCTTCAACTCTTCTGATAGCTCTTCTTAAATGCCCTTGCATACACAGCCTGCTGGGCAGATATGTAGTTTCATTGATATGGCAGCAGCCAACTTCTCCCTGGTGGCATTGTGACCTGTGTAAGCACCTCATTTTCTGTCTAGACTATGATCTTCCTAGGAGCTGGCACACAGTGAGTGCTCAGTTGAATGAGCCAAGAGAGTTAGCACCAACAGTTACTGACCCTGGTTTTAAGACAGGAATGTCAATGGATAGGCAGGTAGGTGTGAAGAGGGCTAACAGACTCACTCTAACCTAACAGACTTTGTCTTCCAAATTGGTCACTCAACACTGTTTTGATGACTTTTATATAAATAAAGAGAAATGAGAACTTAGAGTTACAGGAAAACCAACTTGAAGATGCTTATTATTCCTTTTTTGTAAGTGATTTGGGGTTGGTTTTCATTTCTGAGAGCATCTCATGGACAGTACACACTGAATAATATGTAACTAACAAAGAGTATGACAAAATGAAAATGCAGGAGGAGGCAGTCTTCGCCCTCAGGAGGTACACAGTCTCACTGCAGGGAGATACATACACCCAGTTTAAGATTTACAGAGACTCCATCAACGTGTGGAGAACAGAATCCTTTCAACCAAGCCCAGTATTGCTTCTGGATTGCTGGAGAATAAGTTGAGTGGGTGGGACAGCTGGGATGGGACTTGGTTATTTCATTTCTACGAAATGAAGTAATGGGGGTGGAAATCATGATGTTTGCTTTCCTGATTATTGTGTGATTTTCTCAAAGATAATCAATGCCAGCAAATTAATTTTAGGTTTTCAGTGATACTAGTATTTCTGACAGGCTAGATCAAACTCTAATATGCAAAAATTATTCTCAACTTAAAAGCAGTACACTGGAATTTGGGTGTTTGGGTAACACTGAACCCAACCTGCTTACTGAGCACCTTCAATGGGCAAGAAGCTCTGTGGGGCAGAGGGACTGCATTCTCCACACACCTTCAGGCTGGTTGAGCAGAAGTGACCTATGCACACCCCTGTGAGGTTGAGGGCAGACCATGCATTAAGAGGAGCAGACAAAAAGGGCTATAAATGCTACAGATTCCTCCAACTTGTGAGGCAGTTGGGTTTGACAAAACAGAGGAGTCCAGAAGCACTTCAACTGTACTTTTAGTGCTGGGACAAATTTGGTGCACAAAGGTAGACAATCCAGGTGAAGAAGTGCTAAGCGGGAATTACCAGGTGGGGTACGGGAGATGCTGAGGGCTCAGCTTGCCTGAAGCACCAGATGACTAGACGTGACGTTCTGGGAAGTGAGGCCCACATGGTGAAGGGTGTCGCATGCCCACACAGCAAATTCAGGTGTTAGTCTCCGTCTGGAAGGTCAAGCCATTGAGGACTTCTTAGCTGGGATGCTACTTGATGTGTGCCATGTGCTGTGGTCTCTATCCTACACTGCATGTGAGAGGGCCGTTTTTTTGTTTTTTATTTTTTAGCTTAGTTCCCGGTGCCATTGCCACCTATAAAGGGCTAAATCCAAGCAAAACATGGTGCAACAAACCCTTTCTAATCCCTCCAGATATTGTGGGACCTAAATGTCCTTTTGAGAGCATTTGGAGCTTGGTTTGTTGTAGATTATCTTAGGAAAGGCCTGTTTTTATACAAAATGGAAAAGAGGCAATCCCCAGACACTTAGAAACCACAAGTTGATTTTTTTTTTCCATTTGAGGAAGCAACACACCAGCAGCAATTGGTCTAAATGTTCATATTGCAAGAAGTCAAATGAAATTATTTGCAGACAGCTTCTCAATGTAGCAAGGGCAAAGAAAAAGGAAATATAGATTGATTTTTCAGTTCTGTTCTCTAATACAAAATGGAAGTTTGGCAGACATCTGTTTGATTTTTATCACTTTGGGAATCTAAAAGATAATAACAAGACAGAAATATCTAGTATTTTGATACACAAACTGGTTGGTTTTTACCTGATAAATGTTATCTATATTCATGTATTCAATTTAGTGAAATGTTTAGCCTCAGTTGTCTGAAACAGCAACGTAAGTTATCTGTGTTATTACTGAGTTTTCTCTTAAAGAATTTTTTTTTGGACATTAACCTAGCTAGTGGTCATGCCAACTGCATGAGTTCCCCATCATAAAGACTAAATTAAATCTAAGTGACTTAAGTGGCTGGAGGTATAGATTAGATGGTAGAGGCGGGGATCTGAAGATTCTCTCAAGGTGGGAGGGGCACTCTAGGACAGTGTCAGCTCCTCTGCAGAACACTGCTTTCCTCAATGTCTTTCTCAATGTTGCTGAGCCAAAGAAGCTGAAGCAAAAGAGGCTGCTTTGTAATTCTGCTGGTCTTTTTGACCTTGACCCACCCCACACACACACACATCATCCAAAGTGATGAAATGTTATCTTTATTCTGTTTTTGTTTTGTTTTGTTTTTTTCAGGGAAGCTGAAGACCCTCTTTCAATCACAGTTGTTCGCTGCACATCGGTAAATCTTTCTATGTCCTGTTAGTTTTACCTTTTTCGGACCCAAGACTCCATACCCCCTCATAGAATAAACAGGGAAGGCAAATGGCAGAGGGGACAGCAGACAAGCAGTGGGTGGGCAGGCAGTCAATGTAGCCTGAAGACGGCTGATGCATCAGTGCTGTGGAGGAAACAGGCATGGATTGGTCCAGGCTTCCAGAATTTGTGGTCCAGCTAAGGAGACTGATCTAGGATTAAGCAGAGTGGGATGATGACAAAAGCACCAAACTACAAGTTTTAAGATAAGTTTGTGGGTTATGACTTTGGGGAAGTCATTAACTTTCAGTTTTCATTTTTTGTAAAACAGTGATGATGACAGTAATTGTCTTGTCTAATGGGTTACTGTGAAGACCAAGTGAGATGTTGGATGTGAAAGTGTCCTGTCAGCCCTGGGGTTCATCACAGGGCAAGGTGTGGCTTAAACAATGTGCTGGTAGGAAATGACAGTCCTAAATGCCACAGACCAATGAGCCCTTTATCTGTGATACAGAGAAAAGTGTATAATTAAGTCCTAAGAGAAAGAACTATCAAGGAGAAAGAGTTGACAGAAAATTCTCATTTGGAGACTTTAATACATACCTCTTAGCTTTAGCCACATAAAGATAAAAAAAATAAATAGGGGTATGGAGAATTTCAATGATGCATTTGATAATCTAATCTTATTGACCACATACCACTCTATCAAAAAAAAATTCAATAAATTCCCCAAATAAGAAACTATATAGAGGTACCTGGGTGGCTCAGTGGTTAAGCATCTGCCTTTGGCTCAGGTCATGATCCTGGGGTCCAGGGATTGAGTCTCTCATTGGGCTCCCTGTAGGGAGCCTGCTTCTCCCTCTGCCTATGTCTCTGCCTCTCTCTGTGTGTCTCTCATGAATAAATAAAATCTTAAAAAAAGAAACTATATAAATGTCTTTTCCAGAATATAAAGAAATAGAAGCTAATAACCAAAGACTTAATTAAAACTGTCCAGACATTTGGAAATAAGAATGTAATCTCCCAAGTAAAGATAGAATGTAATCTCCCAATCTAAAGATAGAAAAGCAAAACTAAAAAAAAAAAAAAAGAAAGAAAAGCAAAACTACCATTATATAGACTAGTTAGAAGAAAATTTAAAATTAGAAGTGTGCTTTTTAAAATTTATGTGCAGTTGAAGCTATACTCAGAGTAAAACCTTAGGTGATTTTATTATTTAATAAGGAAATAGGTCAAGAGAATATTCAGTGCAAGAAGTTGGAAGAAAAGACTATAAAACATAAAGCAAAAGAGAGAAAATGATAAAAATTAAAATCTAAGTGATGCTTTGGAAAACAAAAGTTATAAAGTTGATAAATAAATCCCAGAGTCAGTTCTCTAAGGGAAAAAATAAAAAAGGAAATCTTCACGGAAAAGAAATAGGTGGACCCTATGTGAAGGAAAGTAGAATATTATGAAAGATAGGATGAAAAATTTTTTTTTAATACAAAAAGATGGGAAGACTGTTATGAATACATTGGTTATTCTCATATTAATGTATATTCTGAATCCAAATTCAAACTCCTGATAGGACTTGCATTTGGATTTTGGCAAAGTTTATCGAAGTGAGGCTTACCAAGAAAATCTTTATTAAAAAAGGAGGGTGATGGGGTGCCTGGGTGGCTCAGTCAGTGAAGGGGCCGGAGTCTTGATTTCGATTTCAGCTCACGTCATGATCCCAGGGTCATAGGATTGCACCCTGTGTCAATGCTCTTTGCTCAGTGGGAGAATTTGCTTGAGGATTCTGTCTCTCCCTCTCCCCCCACCCCCTCACACTGCTCTCTCTTTCTCTCTCAAAAAAATAAATCTTTAAAAATAAAAAAATTTGGACAGCCCAGGGCCGGGGGTGGGGGGGGGGTGGGAGGGGGCGGGCGGGGGGCTCAGCGGTTTAGCGCTGCCTTCAGCCCAGGGCGTGATGGGGAGATCCGGGCTCTAGTCCTGCATCGGGCTCGCTGCATGGAGCCTGCTTCTCCTTCTGCCTGTGTCTCTGCCTCTCTGTCTCTGCCTCTCTGTCTCTCTCTGTGTGTGTCACATGAATAAATGAATAAAACCTTTAATAAAAGTTAAAAAATTAAAAAATAATTTAAATTAAAAAAATTTAAAATGTAGGAGTAATGAGGATGACTTTGGTGTAATAGATTTTAAAACTAATAAAGCTAAAATAATTAAAACAATATGATATTGACAAAATGGTTGGACATGACAGTGTAATCAAATAGAAAGTCCTAGAATAGGTACTGAGATAAGAATTTAGTATGTGAAAAATATCACATCTCAAGTCACTGGAAGAAAAGATGATTACTCACAAAATCATACTAGGACATTTCTTTAAGTATTTGAAAAAAGATAAAGTCTCATCACACCATTTGATGTAATAATAATTAAATACAGAAAAACATAAAAATGTAGACAATATAGATGAGTGTCTGTGTGGTCATAGGTTATAGAAAGAATTCCTAACTAGGGAGTGGGAGGAAGCACAATGAACAAACAGCTATTTGATTATGTGGAAAAATTAAATTTCTATGGTTCAAAAACTTTACAACACTAAAAAGCGAAGAAATTGTGGTCTCTTCTCATTTTTGAAAAATACTGTTTTTTGTTTTTATTTCCTGGAAATAGAATAGGGGAAAAAAACACCTAAATAGTATTAAGATATTTGCCATAAATATGACAGACCAAATGGTTTTATGAACAAATAAACAGAGATTCTTCTAAACAGAATTTGTCTATGAAATAATGTGAAATCAATATACAAAAAACAGTATAAATGGTTGTGCAGGTGGTAAGAGATTCTTTTTATTTAGCTGATTAGCATCTCAATGGAGAACATCTTAATCTTAATTAGGTGGGTTTTTTTCCCCTGCTGTTTTCAAGAAATGAAAACAAAAGAGAACACTTGTTAAGTAAATAAGAGGAAAACAGCTTATGGTTGCATTCTTTTATTTTTTTCTAAGATTTTATTTACTTATTTATTTGAGAGAGAGTATGAACAGGGTGGGGGGGCAGAGGGACAGAGGGAAGCAGACCCCCAGCTGAGCTGGGAACCTGATACAGGGCTTAATCCCAGCACCCTAGGATCATGATCTGAGCCAAAGGCAGATGCTTAGCCCACTGAGCCACCCAGGTGGTTGCATCCTTTTAAAAATGAAAAATATAGGGAGAGGAAAATTCATATGTTCCAATACAACTCCTGAGTTTCTTTCCCCTGAGGCTCCCAAGCAGAGGAGGATGCAAATGTTGTGCTCTGGAGGTCCTGCAGGGAAAGCTTATATTGGTCCATGTCCTGAGAAATGCCCTGAATATTGTCCAGCTCACTCAGGCCTCTATTAGGAATTATACAAATGATCACATATGTCTTGCTTTAGTAAGGATGTTCATCTTTGCCATAGCAGATTCTTAGGGTTCTCAAATGGCTTGAAATTAATTATGAAGGATAAAATCCAAAGTTGGTGGAGGAGGGTACCTGGCTGGTTCAGTCAGTGGAGCACGTGACTCTTGATCTCAGGGTTACGAGTTTGAGCCCCATGTTGGGTGTAGAGATTACTTAAAAATAAAAAAATCTTTAAAAAAGTAAAAATCCAAAGTTGGAATAGTAATTACTACTTCTGTAGGACATAGAATTTTATGGGGAAAAATAAATATATATTGGTGCAGAGCTGTATTTATATTAATGATTTATAATATATTGGTATTAATATTGGTATTGTTATATTAATACCAATATTTAATGTCTTATTAAATCTTCACCAAAAGAAAATCATACAGGATAACAAATATCCCCCTTTTGCAGATAAGGACACTGTGGCCTCACATGCTCATAGTCTTATACGCAGAAATCAGTGGAGCTGGGTAATTTTCCAGGTAGTCAGATTTCAGAACCCACAGTCATTAGGTTTATGCTAGTATACCTCCTTAAACTCTGCTGTCTTTTTTTATTTATTTTTTATTTTTAAGGGGGAGGGGCAGAAGGAGAGGGAGAGAGAATCTTAAGCAGGCTCCACACCCAGCACAGAGCCCATCATGACCCTCAGATCATGATCTGAACCAAAATCAAGAGTCGGATGCTTAGCCAATTTAGCTACCCAGGCACCCCAACCCTGCTGTCTTTATAAAATGACATTGACCGGTCCAGGGCCAATGTAAAAAAAAAGATATAGAACTTTTTAACTTGTCCCTTTTGATGCACTTTAAAGTCTTAGCTCAGTAAAAATATACACTGAGAAAATTTTTATCAGCTCAGGTCTGCTACTCTCTGATGAATTAATTTAGAACCCAGGGAGAATCTAAATATCCTAGAATAATGGGGAGCTCATATTGTTTAAAGTGCCTCTTTTTCATATTAGATGGCTCAGGTGAGTTCACAACATGTTTTAGATGCCAGGGCATACAGATAGCAGCAAAGCTGCCATTCAGATGTAAAAGTGTGGGACCTGTGGTGGTGCCTGTGGATTGGGCATTTCTATGACAGAGCGTGTATTCTTTCTCAAAGCAGCTAGTTTCATAGCTAGGCTGTTTCAAATGTGAGAGAGGCCCTTCTTCCCTGTGACTCCCACCAACTAGTGCTAGTCAGGGCAAGTCTACCTTGTGTGAAATAGATTGGCAAAGATTTCGAGTTGTGGCCTTCTCTTCTCCAGGCTGTCTACTGTTCCGTCAACTCTTCATCATAAGATGCTTCTCTGAATTCTCACTTCTCTGATAGCTTTCTGGACAGATTCCAGTTCCACAGTGGACTTTCCAAATGGTGGCACCTGAAAGGAATATAGTTCCTCCTGGGGTCATCTGGTGAGAGTACCCAGGGAATGGAGGGTGCACTTTTGACATGCATCAAAACTGCCAGTGACGCCTAAGATTGGGTTAAGATTTTAGTAGGCCCAGTCATGCTGTTGGCTTGGGTAAAACTTGTGGTTAACCAAAAACAGAGGCTGGGTTTCAAATGAATAGCTTCCAAGCCCCCATCCCATGCTGTGCAATTGAGTTTTTTGGATCCTCAGTGCCACACTTCACATTAATCCCTGTCAAATCGTGTTGCTTCAGCCCAGTGTTCTGGCATGCTGAGATTTTGCCGTCAGGGAATTACAGAACTGAAAGGAATATTTGTACAGTCATCAGCTGTACTCATTCTCCCTTCCTGTCAGGGATCTGCCTCTTCCCACGCTTCCTCCACTTCCTCCATTACCCAGCTAGTTGATTTTCTTTAGTCTGATCCAGCTCTGGGCCTCAGTCTTGCAGGGTTGCTGTCCCCATGGCGAGAGAAAATAGAGGTTGCCTGCCCCCTGCCCACACTCCTGTCACAGATTCTTTTTCTCTCTGCATCTCTCCCTGTTCTGCCCCTGGTTTGTCATTCCTTTGAATCTTTAGCATAGTGATGGTTGCACCTGTCACTTTGACCCTTCACTTTACTCTGTTCCCTTCAGTCTTGACAGCCCTGCCCTCTTATATCCTCTTATGTTTGTTCTTAGTGATTTTTTGGCGTCTGGCCCATAGCCACCCCTGCTCCTCAAGTTTTCCACACAGCTCCTTTAGATACCGTTCCTTTACTTTTCCTCCCAAACTTCTGCTGTCTATGACACCATGTAGCTCTATGTCATTCACAGGTTTGGTAAGTACACCTTCTCTGACTTCATCCAAGGCCTTGCTAAACATCATCAATGGAGACTGAGCCAAAGGGAGCCTGAGTTGCTTAGTTAGATATTAGGACAGTTTTGAGCATAGATCAACTCGTTTTGAATCCTCCTGATGGCTCTGCATCTGGCCTTCTCCACAGGGGGATTATAGGAGACCTTATCAAACACTTTGCAAGAATGAAGGAATACTGCTATATCCACAGGACCCTGCCTTACCAATCTGGAATCCCATCTTCAAAAGAAAAATGAACTTGGTTGACTCTGACTTATTCTTGGTAACTCCATACTGGTTATTAGTGATCAATGACTAAAACTCCCTGACCATCTCTTATCTTGAATTTTGCCAAGAAAAAATGACAGGCTTACCAATATGTGTTCTCCTTAATCTTCATGTTCATTTTCTGGGAAATTTGACACTTAACCATCTTTAGTCTTCTAATATTTCTTCCTTTTTCTCTTCTGTGGGTGATGCCAACTGTTATATATGACCCCTAGATTTACTGGGATAGGTGTCTTGAACTCATTCAAGGCAGTCTGATAGTCTTATCACCAATTTGAGGTTGTAACTTTCTTTTTTCCTTTATTTCTTCTATCTCTTCTGATTGGAAAATCATTCTACCTGAAGAAGAAAGCAAATCAAGGTTAAATAATTTCTGGAGTTGAGGGATTACCACACAGGTAGACTTCTTCCCCAGGGACATCACTATTTCCTCTTCTCTTTTTACTAAATTTTTAAAAAGCAAACTGTATATTTGAGATACTGAATCATAGTCATGAACCTGTTACATGAATGCTCTAGTTACTGTAAGATCAAATTTATCTTGCCTTAAAATTTCAGGGTCACTTCTTCACTTCATGTACTTAATGGTATTGGTCTGTTGATATCCGAGGCTATGAGCATTGTTTCCTGCAGTTTCTCTGATTGTTGTTCTATCTCTCTTCTGTCCTCTATGCAAAATGTGGTCCAGAGCTCCACCTTAAGACTCTTAATGTATGTAAACATTCTACAGCTGGCCTAACAGACTATCCAGACCAAGAAATGTAGCATGCCATGCTGGGAATAATGTATCAGAATTCCATCCAGGAAGATCACATTCTGTTGGTCTAGATCATGCAAATTACTGTTTATTGTGGTCACAATTTAACCTGATACATTCTAGGCCAGGGGCTTCATCACGTACCCATACCAACCTGTGATGACTCTTTCTACCTCTGGGGAAAGAAAGTACCACCCAAAAGATGAGAAGAGCAAAGAGGGGCCAAGGATCAATCACAAGAGTTAGAGCTTCAGGGAGCCCTAGAGGTATTCAGATCCAACTCTCACATTGTACACAGGAAGATGAAAGGCCCCAGAGGAATGATAACTTGGCCAAAGTCATGTCACACAGAGTTATTTTGTTCACACACACACACACACACACACACACACACACATGTGGTCTTATTCCATGAGAATTTGTGTTTGAGGTAGTTCTTACAATTTCACAACTGTTTAGTAACAGAACTTGGGTATTCTTGTTCACAAGCCAGTTCTTGCTTCATCATACACAACCATTTACCACCATATTGAATCCTCGACTGTCCTCAGACACATAAGAACATTGTCTGGGTTGGGATTCCTAAATTTCATGAAGAGATCTTTAGTGGGACTATCCTTCTCTGTGGGTTTTAATTGAGTCCTCAATAGTTGTCAGGTTTATCACTTTTGTTTTTAAGAAGTGAGAAGATGTGTACTGGCTTTTACAAAAGTCCTGATCTCAAATGTGTCATGTTCATATTTTGCAGGGAGTCCCCAAGTCATCCTTCTTGACTGAGGAGAAGAGAGCCAGGCTAAAGACCAACCCCGTGAAGGTGCACTTTGCTGAAGAAGTGCTTGTCAGTGGACACAGCCAGGTACGTCACTAGTCAAGGGGTTGAAATCACTCTTCATGAAGCGGGGGAGCTGCCTCCTGGTACTTACCTCTTTGAGATTCTGGAATCTTGCAGCACAGAGAGGATACCAAGGGAGTGCAATAGGTGTGCTAAAGACTCTGAGCACCCTCAATAAGTTACCTGCTGACCATGGACAGGGAGAGCTAGGAAGAAAAACACTGGGTGTTTCTCTTTTATTCTGTGACTGAATTCTCACCCATGAAATGTCAACAAGCTCCAAATGCTAATTTCTCATTTTGGCCTTGAACTTAGTGTTGCTTCCATATTGATAGTGATGGTTGTGATGAAGATTGCTTCCCCCTACCCCAGAACCTATTTTGTATTGAACTTCTATTATATGTTTTTGTTGTTGTTGTTGTTGTTGTTGTTGTTGTTTTTTATGATAGTCACACACACAGAGAGAGAGAGAGAGAGGCAGAGACACAGGCAGAGGGAGAAGCAGGCTCCATGCACCGGGAGCCCGATGTGGGATTCGATCCTGGGTCTCCAGGATCGCGCCCTGGGCCAAAGGCAGGCGCCAAACCGCTGCGCCACCCAGGGATCCCTGAACTTCTAGTATATGAACCTAAACTTTTGGGGTACATAATCCTTCATCATCATGATACCCTGGAAAGGAGGTATTTTAACATGAGAGGAAGCAGAGGCTTGGAGAAATTAAGAGAATTAACCTCTGAGACCGCATAGCAAAAAAAAATATATGAGCCCAGGTCTATGTGACTTCAGTTTTTTTGTTTTCCACTGTAACATCCTGTCTAGTCTTTTGATATGGAGATGTCCAGGATTGAGAGTTCAGAGGACAAATTTGAAAAGGGAAAGTATTGGCTGGAGTTTGATGTTTTTAATGTTGACTATTGGATTAAAGACTCGTTTATACATAGTTTACCCATTTTCTTCCCAGTGGTCTGAAACTATTGCCATTCTGAACTCAGCAATCAATATTAGACTTTGAAACTTTCAGGTCAGAGCTTATCCTTATATGGTCTCCTTGCTGTAGAGACCAGCAGATGGAGGAGTCATGGCCATTTTAACAAAGGGTCCAGGTGATCTGGTTCACATCTGCCAAGCCCTTATTGTCTATATCACCTGCTACTTAACAGACTGTACCTTCATTAGACCTGAGAGTGGAAGGTGGATTTGTTCATGAACGGGCCAAAGGGAGGCCTAATGCATTAGAAAAGACCTGAGGCCCTGTCACCCAGCCATGCTTGTGTCTCTGTGTGTCCATGTTTGTGGAAGTGGATTGAACCTCTTTAGCAAATTAAATTTAGATTCAGTGTGTGTTTTTAAGACTAATGCACAGTGATGAGAAGTAGGGGCTAGAACCACCTCACAGGACAGGTAGAGAATAAGAGTTCTGCAGGTGTGAACCCAATCACTTGGAGCCTGTGTTAAAATGTGTACCATCCCCCACTTGCTGGTATTGTGAGAAGACCAGGTGAGGACAGGTTTTGACCTCAACTGGCTACAAAAATTTGATCAGAGTTTGGGGAGAGGTGGAAGTTTAGAGAAAGAGAATGCTAAAAATGTGTCTCTGGGGACACTTGCAGGTCAGAGCACGAAGTCTCTGTATCAGGCGCATAAGGCAGAGAGAGCAAAACCAATGGGAGTTCATCACTGTGACCTACTTATTCATCCTTTCAAATGTTTAAAAATGATAAAACTGGGGCACTGCGGTGAATCAGTTGGTTAAGTGTCTGACTCTTGGTTTTAGCTCAGGTCATGATCTCAAGAGTAGTGGGATCAGTTCCACTTCAGGTTCTGTCTGCACTCAGTAGGGAGTTTGCTGGAGATTCTCTCTCCCTCTGCCTCCCTGCCCTATTCTCTCTCTCTCTTTCTCAAATAAACAAATAAATGTTTTTTAAAAATGAATAAAAGTTGGGGATCCCTGGGTGGCTCAGCGGTTTGGCTCCTGCCTTTGGCTCAGGGCGCAATCCTGGAGTCCCAGGATCCAGTCCCGCATCATCGGGCATGGAGCCTGCTTCTCCCTCTGCCTGTGTCTCTGCCTCTCTCTCTCTCCCTCTCTCTCTCTCTCTCTCTCTAGATATATATATATATCTAGAGAGAGAGAGAGAGAGAATGAATAAATATAAATAAATTCATATTCATTTATTCATATATAATTTATTCATATATAATGAATAAATAAATAAATAAATCTTTTTAAAAAATGAGTAAAAGTTGATAAAATTGGTTATTAACCTTTTCCCCTGAAAGCAGGATAAGACCCCAGAAGAATTCAAAATAGTAAGCTAACATTTGCAAAATGCTTAACTTTGCTAACAGTTAAAGAAATGCAAAGGAAAATATTAGGAAGTGCCACTTTACACCTAGTAACCAAGCATAAATAAAGAAAAAAATGTAAGTCCTGATGCTGATGAAGTAGCCACAGTCATGCACTAACTGGTGGCTTTGTAATTTGGTTTCATCTGTTTTTGTGTGTGGGAGGGGAAACAAAACATGAGTACCATAAAAAAAATGGCCCAAGGATCACATTCCTATTAATTTAGTCTATAAAATAATTTAAATGCAAAAATCCATGTGTTCAAAGTACCTATGGTACTGACATATAAAATAGAAAAAAATCTTTGAAAAGAATGCTCAATGTCTAGGGCCAAGAGTAGTTAAATCAATTCTGATATTTCAAATCCATAGAAAATCATGAGTCCATTAAAATTACAAACATTAAACCTCTAGGAAAAAGTATATGAAATACATGTTGAGTAAAAATGAAGATAGAAATTGTGTATGTTCTATTATTGCCACTCTCTAAAAACGATTTACAGGTATAGATAAAAATTGGAAGAAGCCTTAAAGAAAAGTAAATGGTGGTAGTTATGTGATGCTGTTGTGGACATATTTTTTGGAAATCCCAAATAATAAAGTCCCAAAGAAGAAATTTTGCCTTTGGGAAATCCAAAGATGAAGGTCATTCTAAATACCCAAAACCAGAGAAGTGAGATGAGAGCAGAGCCAGCAGTTTGCAATCCCTCATCCCAGATTATGAAGCAGCACTGTGATCTGAACTTTACCTCCTTTTTCTTTCACAAAAAGACTTTTTTTTTTTAAATTATAGAGAGTGATGAGTATGAGTCTTACCTAAAAGATACAAGTGCCCTTACAGTTAGAAGATACAAAATTCTCATCTAAAGCAGACTGTCAGATTTTTTTGGAAAAGGATGATAGGCTTCTCTATCCAAATGGGCTTTATACCCAAACTCTTTGCAGAGACTAAAGCGGGGGCAGTTTGAGCTCAAATCTTGGGGACTCTAGAGCTTCTTACTCACTGATTCTGGAGGATACCAATCCCAAGAGCCCTTTTTATTTGCAGCTAAATACTCAGAGGTCACTCTTTATGAGGGCCAGCTCTAGGGGGATTCCTAAGCCCAAAGGGAATCTGCCCTCCCCCACCCCAGGAAGTCTGGCTGGCATGGGGTTACCACACAGATGAGTCCCATGCCTGCTTCCCAAAAAGACCTTCCAAGAGTGGTTGAATCCCTTAGGAGATTCTGCAAGTCTGGGGCGATGGTTTGGATGAATGAAGGTGGGAGCAGCCCTCTGCACTTTGATGATGCTTCACTACAGGGAATGAAGCAGGAAAATGGTGGCAGGGAGGGAGGAGCTCTGAGGGAGCTTCCCACCCCAGTCAGCCCCCTAGCCCCACCAGGAAAGGCCCTCTGGGGAGAGTGTACATGCTTGTCTCTGATTTATTAAATTGTATCACATAAGGGTAGCAACCAAAGGTATTGAGGTTGCAGCTGATGGTTGTGAGACCTCATTTGGACTCACGCAGTGCCATGGGTATGCTCGTGACCGGGCTCACTCTTCTCCACCATCTCATATCTGACACTTTTAGTGGATATTCCTGGAACAAAGCATGCCTGTCTCTGTGTGGCATAGACCTGGTCCACTGGAGGAATTTCCAGATGCCAAGAATCAACCACTCCATAGTGAGGAAGTTAGGATCCTGCTCTCCACACCCAGCAGGGCCAGGGGAGCTGAGGACTTGTCACACCCAGGGAAAGGAAAGGCCAGTTTCAACACTACTCTTGTGTTTTCCAGGGTAATTCTCTGCTGTGTATGCCCAACGTGCTCAAGCTGTACTTGGAGAATGGACAGACCAAAGCTTTCAAGTTTGAGGCAAACACAACTGTGAAGGTATTAAGAGTAAACTTGAGTTTCTCTCCCAGTGAGAATTTGCTGGCTCCCGGGACTCCCAGGTATCCTGCCCTGCAGCTGCCTTGGTGTTCCTGTAACCATTTTGGCCTGAGTACCTGCCATAAACCAAGCACTGTGTTACCTCATTAATTGTACAACCATCCAGCAAGATGTATTTTTATCACCATCTTCCAGGGGAGGAAATGAGGGCTCAGAGGGATGAAGTACCCAAGGTCCTATGACAACTTGTAAGCCTTCATTCATCCTTGACCTCTGGGCTCCCTGCCTCTTGTATGTGACTCCACCTGCTACCAGAGACTAGTGCAGCTAAAAACTAAAGCACCATGTCAGAGCAGGCCCACACATCTGCATATTCTGTTCTGGGTTGAAGTCAGTTCAACTTATATTTAACAGGTACCTCCATATGAGGGAGATACTCCAGGGTGGGGAGAGGGGTACAAACTAGGTAAAGGGTAGTTTTGTCTTCCAGAAACTTACAGTCTTGTTGAGGGAGGTTAGACATTCAAGGAGCTCCCGGAAGTCCAGAGCAGGATGAAATAAGAGCTGCAAAGAGAGGGACAAGGAAGTGTGCTCTGCATGCCAGGGAAAGAGCACCATCTGCTTCTTTCTGTCAGTATGTCAGAGGAGGCTTTGTAAAAAAAGCTGGACCTGAGCTGAGCTTTGAAGGGCAACCAAGAGCTCAACAGGGGAAGGTGGGGGACAGGGCTGTTGGTGGGGGTTGGAGGGTACACGTCAGTCTGAGGAAGTTATATGTCCTAATGTGAGAACCAGTAAGGCAAATGTTGCCCAGGAAGTAGTAATCTTTCCTACGGGACTGGAGCATAGGCCATTTTCTTGTGGGAGGAGTGGGAGTTGGCAAGGCTAGCTGTGGAGGGTGTTGAATGACAGGAAACAGAGTTTGGATTTTATTCACAGAGAGTGAGGGACAGCGCAATGGCTTCTGAATGAGGGAGTAGACTGTGTTAGAGCGAGGCTCCAATGAAGAAGCAAATAAAGGGTGTTCAGGTGAGCCAGTGCATCTATAGGTAATGGATGGTAGCCAAGACACGCACACGTGCACACACACACACACACACTCTCTCTCTCTCTCTCTCTCATTCTTTCTCTCTCATGTACTCCTCCCACACACACATACATGCACCAGCCAGTGTTCCTCTCTGTCACTTTCATTTGGCAATTCCCAGAGCTGTTCCAAATGCCCTATCCCAGTCTTCCCTCAGCATGACTTAGGAGAAGCCAGAGAAAGCCTCTCTGGAGCTGAAAAGCCCTTACTCAGAGAAGGAAGAGGAGAGAAGAATGGATTTGTTAAGCATTTACTACATGCCTGCTCTCCCAGGCACTTCCTTATGTACTATCTCATTTAATGCCCCCAGTAACCTTGTGAAGTGACAGGTGTTATCCCCATTTTGCAGATGAGAACAGAGGCCCAAGAGACCTCCAAATTGTCAAGGTCAGCTAGCTCATAAGTGGCTTCAAACCTGGTCTGTTTCTGGACCCTGCCCTGGACCTTCCCACACACTATCCTGCACCAAAGTTTTGCAAATGAATTAGACAAGGTTTCTACTTCTGCCATCTTTGATCCAAGTGCATTGGAATGGAAGGGATGATTTATTTAAAGTGAGTCCCACTTTGGTGGCCAAAAAGACTTGGAGAGGATTTATAATAAAAGCACACACCATTAGATCCCAGATGATAGAGTTGGAGAAATGGGTGAGTTTTTAGCTGGTATAATACTGGTTACATTTACTTATATATGGTAACCAAATTTTTTTAAAGATTTTATTTATTTAAAAAATATTTTATTTATTTATTCATTAGAGACAGAGAGAGAGAGAGAGAGAGAGAGAGAGAGAGGCAGAGACACAGGCAGAGGGAGAAGTAGGCTCCACGCAGGGAGCCCGATGTGGGTCTCGATCCCAGGACTCCAGGATCACACCCTGTGCAAAGCTTTCCCACAAAGGCAGGCACTAAACCTCTGAGTCACCCAGGGATCCCTATAGGAACCAAATTTTTTAAAGCAAATCTTTTAGTTCTTTATGACAGAAAGGGCAGGGGGAGATATAAACAAATCCTGTGGGTCAGACAAAGGAAAAATCACCATCCATTCATAATTGACTTCTCTTCCCAGCTCCCTTACCAAGAGAAGCAGAGTCCCTACATTAGAAAACCCTCTTTCTCTAAGTCAAGAAAAATAATACGACATTCGATACAGTGAACAGTTGTGTGCCTGCAAAGCTGTCAGTGACACAGCAATACATATACCAGGTCACACCTAAGGGGAGCCCAGAGACTTGGGGTGGGGCTGGGGGCAAGAGGGGAGACCTGGGGATAACTCAGCATGAACTGAGGAAAGTGCAGTGTGCTCAGGAATGGGCCCCTGAGTGGTATGTGAAGACAGTGTCCCAGGCATGGGGAATGGCACCAACAAACACCCAAAGATGGGAACGTTTGACAAGAGTAGAGGGCTTGTGAGCGGAAGGCATTGGAAGAGGCAGCAGCAGAACAAGTGGGAGAAGTTGATTGACACCTGATACCCGAGAGCTTTGAGTATTAAGCTGAGGAGTTGGGATTTGGGCTAGCCCGGCTGGGGGTGGGGGGGGGTGCCTGACTATTCTTTAGCAAGGAAGCACAATCAGTATACAGTCAGTCCTAGGCTTAGACAGCTTTCTGTAGGTCAGAGGTCAGCAAACTTTTTCTGTAAGGGGACAGATAGTAAATATTTCAGGTTTTACAAACTGTAGGGTCTCTGTCACAGTTACTCAACTCTGCTATTGTAACAAATGGACATAGCTGTGCTCCCATATAACTTTAATTACAAAAGCGAGCAGTGGGCTAGATTTGACCTCTGAGCTATAGTTTTCCAACCACTGCTCTAGATGCAAGTGGAGGTCAGATGGTGGTAGGGTGGTCAATAGGATCCCACTCTATACAGCGGAGGAATGTCTGAGCTCAGACTACACTAGACATAGGAGGATGGAGAGGGGGATGGAGTCAGGAATTGGGCTCTCCATCAAGGCCAATTTAAAGCAAACATTAGATAATGTTGAGTTACAGAAGCAGATAGATTCTTCAGGACTTAATCCCTGATGCATTATGCATTCTGCTTGATAGAGCAAGCAGAAAGAGGATTCAGAATGGGGGGTCATGAGGAGCGAGTAGCACCTGAAACTTTGGCAACTACTAACCTGAGCTGCCAGCAGGACTTCTCTGATGAGTCTGTGATGATTATTTATTTGCTGAGTGAAAGTTTACTGAATGCCATTGAATGCCACGCTCTGGAGATCTAATGGAGCACAAAACAGACAAGGTTCATATTCTCAGGAGTTTACCATCTAGTGGGTGAAAGATAGGAAGCAAGAAAACAACTATTAGCAGCTTGCATGTATTGAACACTTGTCATCTACTAGGTACTATTCTAAGTGCCTTCAGTGGGGAAATTAACACACACAACAGCCCCATGAGATAAGTGTTATTATTACCATTTTACGAATGAAAACAGTGAGGCATAGAGAGAGTAAGGAATTTAACCAGGGACACACAACTAGTAGTGGTAGTCTGGCTCTAGAACCCAGTCACTTAACTTTACTATCTATTATTAAAGAATATACCTGTTATTGAAGCACATAATATTAAATATTGATGAGGGAAATGAACAGGACCCTCAGACAGAGAATGGCCCGGGCAATCACATTTAGATGCAGTGACTAGAGAAAGCCTCTCCGAAGAGAGGGAAACATCCTTGTGAAGAGTAATGGGAAAAGTGTGCCAGATAGAGGAACAGCATGGGCAAATGCCCTGTGGCAGCAAAGACTTTGTGATGACAAAGGCTGCTATAGTGAAGGAGGGGAACGTGGCATGGCAAACTCTAATGGCACAGCAGTAATCATCATTCCATGCTATCAGCCACTCTGAGGCATAGGCATCATTATCCTCCATTTTGCAGGAAGAAACTGAGGCTGAGAAATGTTAGATTGATTTCCCAGTTGCAGAGTGGTGGGCTTCTGTCGGTTAGCAGTTGAAGATGCAGATATCCCAGCAAGAGGATGAATCCAGAGATGTTGAAGAGAGGCAGAAGCCCCAGCACATGGCTTCAGCCTTCCAATAAAGCAAGTCAGGATGGCTGTCTGGGTGGTGCTGGAGCCCCAAGGAGAGGGGGAACAATGGGTATGGGGCCATGAAAGGCGATGAGAAGTCCCACGTGCAGTTTGTGATTGTTTGGCCACCTAAATTGGCAGTGGATCCTGTCAGCACAGGCTTTTTTCTCCCCAGCTACACCGAGGAGCATAGAGAAGATCGAGGAGGTCCCCCTTGCTCTGTGCCTGAACACAAAGTCCTGCCTACCCCTCAGGTGACCCTTATGCCTCTCTGTGCCTGGCAGGACATCATCCTCACCGTGAAGGAGAAGCTGTCCATCCGAAGTATGGAGTACTTCGCACTGGCCCTGGAAGAGCAGTACAACATCTCACGGCTACACCTGCTGCACGAGGAGGAGCTCATCCAGCAGGTACACCTGTTCCTTGTGAGGAGATCCTGGCTGGGCAAACCACATCCCTCAGCCAGAACCTTCAGGGCTAGGTCTCAGCACCTCTGCAGTTTTGACCCACTTTCTCGTGCCCTCACTCAGCCTGGGGATAACAGGGCAAGAATCAGGACTGATTTTCACATCAGTATGTGGGTATGTGGGAATTCCATTTCACAGATATGGAGACAGTGACTTTGAAAGATAAGGTCACTGAGTGGAGGCAATGAAACCAATAGAACCCCATCTTTTTGCCTCCAGCACTGAAGACCTTTGAGAAGTCAGGGAAGCATTTGTTGCTGGGTTTAAGCCCTTTTTTGTGAGACTTACTCCCTGAACTGGTCCCTGATGGATGGATAGGGCACAGTCCGTCTATACAACTCAGTCTTTCAGCCATTCAGTGATTTGGTGTACCAAATTTTTAATGCTTCTATTCCATTGACATTGAAAAAGAAAATCAAATGAGATCCTCAAGATAGTTGAAGTAGAAAAGAAAAGTGAGGTGTATAATATTAAAACAATGTATATGATACTATTATTTATGGAAGAGAAAATAATACACATATGTAGAAGCAAATATACACATAGACTATCTCTGAAAAGGCATTGAAGACCTGCGAGCAGATTTCTTTTGGAAAGGGAAGCAACTTGACGGGGTCAGTGAGAAACTTTACTTTTTGAGCCTTTTACATTTTATACCCATGGGAAAGTCGGCAACAAAGGTCTGCAGCTGTCTTGGGAAGCACTAAAATTGAAGTCTCTGGGGACTTTATTATCTTTCTTTTTTTAAATTGCTTTGTGGAATAGCTACAGAACAAAGGCGATTAAAAGATTAACCGTATCTCCCTTACCCATTGTAGGTGGTAGAAAGGGAGGAGTCACATGACTACCGCTGCCTCTTTAGGGTGTGTTTTGTTCCCAAGGACCCCCTGGACCTCCTGAAAGAAGACCCTGTGGCCTTTGAATACCTCTATCTGCAGGTGACTGGTCTGCTCTTCCTAAAATAACTGGTTTCTCAAAGATGGCACGTTGGGTTATTTTGAACATGAGCTTAAGGCAATTAAGCAACTCCCTGGTAGGGATTATCTTTATCAGAAGGAGAGAGGCCTGATTATCCCTCGAAATTCCCTTTCCATCACTGAATTGCTATGTTAGGAGATTTGCTATGTATTAATGAAATTTAGGCTTAGTCCTCAATGTGGATGATACATTTTCTACTGCCACTTATTTTTTTTTAAGATTTTATTTATTTATCCATGAGAGACAGAGAGAGGCAGAGACACAGGCAGAGGGAGAAGCAGGCTCCCCTCGGAGAGCCCGATGCAGGACTCGATCTCATGACTCCTGGATCACAACCTGAGCCAAAGGCAGACACTCAACTACTGAGCCACCCAGGCATCCCTCTACTACCATTTAGAGCTTCGGTTTTTATTGCTACAAGGGGCATTAGTGCTTTGAAGCCTTATTTTAGAAATGATGAAACGGAGTCTTGGGAAGTCACATGATCTGCCTGGGTCATGCATTTGGTGGCAGAGCCTTGGTGTTCCCCCAACTCTGCCTGCTTGGGTGAGATTTATCACATCACTTTTATATTGATAAAAAAAGAGTTATTTGGGAGGCATTACCATTTTACAATTGAGGTAACTCAAACTAGGTGGATTAACTTGTCCAAATCTTACAGAAATGGTGGCAGCAAATAATGACAACAACACTACTGTATATTTGTATAATGCTGTGTCCTGATGCCTGCTTTCATATGTTACCTAATTTAAACCTCACAGAAACCATGGAAGATAAACTTAACTATCTTCATTTAGCAGTGGGTAGAGTCTTAGTTCAGTGTTCAGAATCTTAGTAAATTAACCAAGGTCACACAGCCAGGAATTGGCAGAGCCAGGTCTCAAAGCTTTTTTCCTAAAAGAACTAGGAACACAATCCATCTATTCTTGTCTCCCAATTCCTCTGATGTAATCTCTTCTAGAGCTGCAGCGATGTGCTCCAGGAGCGCTTTGCTGTAGAAATGAAATGTAGCTCTGCGCTCCGACTCGCAGCCCTGCACATCCAGGAGCGGATCTACGCATGTGCTCAGCCACAGAAGATCTCTTTGAAGTACATAGAGTGAGTGGCAGGGGACTTCTAGGTCCCATCAACAGCAGCTGTGTTGCATTTATAACTTGGCTGGCCCCTGGCCAGGATGGGCAGGTTCCACAGAAAGCTGATACTTGACTACCTACCCGTCTGTCCATTGTCTTTCCATCCATTTCCCTCCCGAATGTCTCTGACCCACCCCACCTCCTCCAGATGTCAGAATCTGGCGGCTCCCTCTAGGGCAGAAGCCAACTGCAGATGGAAGGACATAGGATCCCTTTGTAAATTCCCAGGTCTTGAGAGAATGTCTTGGAAATCAGTTGACAATGTCCATGTAAAGCTCTCCTGAGGGCAGAAGTTCCTTGGAAATTAATTTTGTGTGAACCGGTTGTGTTGCATTGTATTCTTTAAGGACAGTTTCAAGTCCTCAGATTTCAACACCACCTGATGCTTAGCATAAGTTTTCATTTTGCTCTGGGCAGCATCAACCAGGTTTGCTAACCCACTCACCAAATCTCAGCTCTGTCCTGTCTGGACATGAAAATCAATCAGGGAATCATATTTAAAAAATAAAACAGATCCTTGGCTCTGTTCCTAAGGTACTGGGTCAAACCTCTAGGAACTGGAACCTGAGAATCTATATTTTTATCCATTTTTTGGGGGAATTTTGAGGCTGTGAGGCTGGTACCATTCAGAAGCATGGCCTCAGGGATTCACAGGTGCTGTGTGTTGCCTCGTTGAGAGTGTTATACATATGTGATCATTATTTCTCACATATACTGTAGGGAAAAGGATTGAGATCTGTTCTGATTAATAGAATATCATACCACACCAAAAGTAATCAGCTCCCAGAAAGATAAGCGGGGTTAACTCCTGAATGGGTGTGGTTTTATGGAGAGAGTGTATGTGTATTACATATTTATAAATGTGATATTTAATACACAAATTTATGAATATATTTTATATATATTTACATTAACATGTATATATAGATATATCTATCTTCTGTTGAAAAAGAAGCTCATGATTGCAGCATTCTATGAACACTAAGTTCCTGAATCAAATGTAATTATGCTCTTCATTAGAGCCAAGTATACTGTAAAAATGGTATCTCCAATATCTCATGGCAGGAAGGACTGGGGAATAGAGAACTTTATATCTCCAACTTTACTCCGAAACATGAAAGGCAAAGACATCAAGAAAGCTATTAGCTTCCACATGAAGAGGAACCAGAATTTGCTGGAACCCCGACAAAAGGTAATGTTGTGGCCTCTGCTGACACCAACACTACCCCCCACCCCAGGGAAAGCATTTTCAACATTGCGTGGATTTTAGGCAAGTGAATAACTCTAAAGTCTTTTTTTCCCTCTATTTAAGCAACTTATATCTGCTGCCCAACTACGTTTAAATTATCTACAGATCCTTGGGGAACTCAAGACATATGGTGGAAAAATCTTTAATGCTACTCTAATGGTATGTATTATAGAAATGTGGACCCCCCCACTCTTTTTTAAGATTTTATTTATTCATGAGAGTCACAGAAAAAGAGGCAGAGACACAGGCAGAGGGAGAAGCAGGCTCCTCAGAGGGAGCCCGATGTGGGACTCCATCCCCAAACCCCGGGATCATGCCCTGAGCCAAAAGCAGACCCTCAACCACTGAGCCACCTAGGTGTCCCGACCCCCCACTCTTATAAGAGACTGTAGAAGTCCTCTGAAGATCAGTGTCTTTTAGCCTACGATTCCTGAGTGCCCCATCATATACTAGAATTAGTTTGGGAAGCAAAATATTATACCATCGGGGAGTGTTTATCATGCTTGGTGCCAGCCCTGTGACACATGCTGGGGGAGGCAGAACTCAGTAAGACGTGATGGCCACCCTCAATGAAGCAAGGTACCCAACAGACCAAGTGAGGCCATGAGAAAGGCACAGGACTGTTTCTGTAGTCTGAGACTGAGTCTGAAGACAGAGGGTACCACTGCTAGCTTCGGGTTGAATATGGAAAGGAGAAGGGATTAGGGAAAAGCAGGAAGGTTGGATTTGGCCAGATTTCAGTATGGAGGAAAGGCATTCTGAGGGATGGGAAGTGTACACAGTTTACTCTGGTACTTTGAGTATATGAAGGTGAAGAGGAAGACTTGGAGATTGTGAAAAGGGGATGAGAATGTTAGATTGACAGCTGGGCTGGGATCCTGATTGTTCAGAAGGGAAGAACTGAGGGTGAATCTGAGAAGGGAAAGGAGAAGCGAAAGAGTCCTCTGCTCCATTACTCATTCCTCCCCCAGCCTGCTTTCTGGAGCCTTAAGCCTAAAGTTCTATGCATCGCAGCCGTCCATGACTGGTGGGCTGCGGCCTACAGGGACTCTCCCCCGCTGCACTGTTCAGACAACCCCAGACTCCTCCTGCACAAAACCAGACAATTTGCCCATTTGAAGGTTTTTCAATATATTAACAAAGCTCCTTTCAGTGTATTTGGTGTGCTTCTCAGTCATTTACAGTGATGGGGCAGTTTAATCAGGTGGAAAAAGAGAATCAATGTTTGGAGAGAAAGGAAGAGCATCAGATAGTTGGGAAAGGGAAAAATAGTTGAGTCTTTGTACAAGTAAGGTGACAAAAAGGTGGACAAGAGACTAAATCACAGAAAGGAAGACTTGAAGATACAAGAAAAACTTCTATGTTTCCAATGGGCTAGTCCTGTCCCCTCCCCGCTGTCAAGTTCCTGTCCCCAGCCTCCCTTTACTTTTTCCTATCTAGGGTGAGAACTGGTAATGGGAGAAGAAGCCAGCCCCCATTGAACTGGCTCAGGGTGCTTGCTGGGTGCAAGGATGCCACCAACTGTAGATAAATAGACTCTTGTCAGGAAACTTAATGTGAATATGATACTTGGATACAAATAATTGCAGTTAGAAGTGGCAGCTCAGTGCTATCAGAGCAGTACAGAGGCTGTGGTATGGGAACAACACAAAGGAAAAAGACTACTCTGGCTGGAGGAGATAGATCAAGCAGTTGCTTTCCATAGGCAGTAGATTTTGATGGAAGCTTTTAAAGAAGGGTCAGGATTTCAGTAGGGCACAGCATGAATATGGGCACATAGGTATGAAAGCACAGGTTGTGTTTATGGAACAGGTAATGGGGTCCCATGGTCTGGCTCTCTGTTGTGAAGCGTCTTATAGGAGACACGTAGATACTCTTTTAGTTGTAGATAGGGCCCAGATTGGGCTCTTGCCTAGCTTGGTAATCTAGGGAGAGGGGGTGAGGGAGGATCTGAAATAGATATCATGGAGTTTTGCAGAAAGCGGTATCATGTCTTGCATGTGCAATGTATTTTCACTAGCTTGTGAATGAAAACTAATTATTCTTCCACCGAATGCAGTTACAGGATAGAGAATCCTACATTGCCCTTCTAGTTGGAGCCAAGTATGGGATTAGCCAAATTATCAGTAGCAAACTCAACATCATGTCCACGTTGGCAGAGTTTGCCAACATCAGCCGTGTGGAGCTGACAGAGGAGTCCGAGAAAGTGAGCATGGTCAAAGTGTATCTTCAGGACGTCAAGGTAATGCATGGGGAAGGCATTTTGAATCCAACTTCTGGAATTTGGGGCTCAATTATCCTAGGGTAGTTTATTTATGAGAGTATGGATATTAACAAAGTCTAATATCCTGCATTTGCTGAAGAGGATTAATCATCTATCCTATACCATCAAAAGGAAAGTAATGAATATGGTGCATTTTCCTGGGAAGGTCCTAAAAGGGGTGAGGGTTTTTTGGCTTTTGGGGTTGGTATAAACTGAGCTTGGAATATATACTTTCCTTATGGGTTTTTGAAACTTAGATGGGAGCAGCAGATGACTTTATCACATGGATGGGACCAGGATGGCTGCCCAAGATTTTTGAGGGCAGCAATGAAAGTGGGTAAATGATGCAGAGTACTTCCCAAGCCTCTCTGCAAGGTCCTACATTTACCCTCCTTTGCTTTAGTTTCTGACATGTTCAAGGATGGTGCTTTATTATTTTTTTTATCATCTGTTTCCACCTTCTCCATTTGCTCTCCTTTTCCTTTTCCAGATCAGATCTTGAAGGGACCCCACTGTATGAATGAGCAGGGTGGGGTGGGGTGTTTGGGATGGGGATATTGGACTAGGGAATGAAGAGGCAGGAGACATTGTAAGATTCAAGGGGAGAAACCCATTGTGTGTATATGAGTGTGTATATACTTGCACGTGTGGTTGGGCCTATGTATGTGCGTGTGTATGCATGCTTATTTCAAGTCTTGCAGGTGAGAATATGAGATACCAGGAGGCCTGCCTGTGGGGCATGGCTGGACTTACTTCGAATCTCTCATTGGCCCCATGTGGGGCCAATGAGAAGTTGTCAGCCTTCAGACTGTCCCTTAGGCCTTTATATAAAAGCTCTCTTTACTTTCAAAGGTTCTGACGTTGCTGCTGGAATCCAACAGTGCAAAAGACCTGGCCTGCCTGATTGCTGGGTACTACAGGCTATTTGTCGACCCAGATACCTCCATTTTCCTGTGGCCAGGAAACAAACAACAGGTGCACCGGGTATCTGCTGAAGAAGGTGAGGTGCCAAGGCTTGCTCCTATAAAGGACAGGCCCTTTTCACAGCCTAAAGGGAGGGAGTGAATTGAGTTGAGTTGATAAGAGCTATTTTTTCATTTATTTCCTGGTAAACAGTTGATCTTTCTAAAATCCTAAATAGAGAAGTTTTCTTTGTATCTGAGAGTCACCTAAAGCCACAAAATGTGGTTGAACATCTCTGATTCCCTGTAGTATTTCCTAAAATTGTTTCTAAGATCCACTGAATTTTGTCTTTATTTGCCAGCAAAAAAAAAAAAAAAAAGTCATTCATTTATTCAGAAAGTACAGATGACCTAGTTTTTTATTCCATGTCTAGGTGCTCTGTTGCATTCTCGTGAATTATAATAGAAGTCCTCAGCCTTATGTGTTTAGGAGAAGGAAGTACCCAGAGATAGAAGGAAATAGAAGGAAAGAAACCATGTATAAGGAATGAAGTAGTGGAGGCAGATGAGATGCATAGACTCCCAGGCCAGCTCCCAGTTTCTATCAGGCTTTGGCTTCAGCACTGTTAATACAGCATTTTCCCACTGGTTTGCTGATAAATGTTGTAACACTCTCACTATGGCTAATTTCAGGCTACCAATGTGATATCATTGAACGTGAAGATGGGAAGAGATGCTCAGTAGCACAACATTGTATGGCATTTCCTCCATTTGGATCAAATGGGCATGAATAATCTCAAGAGATTAGATGATAGTAAGATAAAGTAAAATAATTAGGAAGTGATGATTTTTGGATGCTTTTGGTTTTAACACAGTTTATAAACAAAGGATGATACCTTAGAGTCTAATCAGACAATGCAGAGTGGGGCAGTTGTGAAGGTCTGGTAGTGAGAGGGACTGCTTCTGTTGGGGCAGTTGGCAGTGGTAGGGAAGATGCTCTACAGGGGGGCAATATTTGACATAGATCTGGAAAGACTTGTGGAGCTAACCAGGCAAAGAAGAGAGGAGAGATCATTTGAAGCAGAGGGGACAACATGGACACATGACACAAGAACAAGGTCCTGATCTGTGAGAAGCTCCCTATAGTGGCTGGAGCATGTGAAGCCTACAAGGGGTAACCAGGCTGCTGAGGAGGGGTCAGGGCCACACTGACAGACCTTAACTCCTGTAGGAGAACTTAGGCTCTTCCCTGTGTAGAGGAAGCCATTAGGGGGTTTGAGTAGAGTATGATATGGCCAGAGAAAAGTTTTTAGAAATATCACGATGGAGGCTATGGTAGAAGAGAAATTGGAGGCCTGGCTCAGTGTCCCCAGTTTTCCTGCCATGAATCTTTCCTGAGTACCAGGAGCTAAATGAGTTTTGACTGTTCTAAAAACCCCATAGTTAGAAGAAATGTGTGGGAAATATCAGAAAGGGAGACAGAACATAAAGACTCCTAACTCTGGGAAACGAACTAGGGGTGGTGGAAGGGGAGGAGGGCGGGGAGTGGGGGTGAATGGGTGACGGGCACTGAGGGGACACTTGACGGGATGAGCACTGGGTGTTATTCTGTATGTTGGTAAATTGAACACCAATAAAAATTAATTTATTAAAAAAATAAAAATAAAAAAATAAAAATAAAAATAAAAAACCCATAGTATCAGTGGGTCCCCAAAGCCAGGTTTCAAGATGGTGCCAGCCTATTGGTCTCAGACACCCACATAAGGTTGCTAAGAATACAGATTCTTAGCCCCCATCCCCTAGATATTTGACTTAGTACATCAGGGTTAGGGTTGAGGATCTTTTTTATTTTTTAAATATGATTCCCCATCTGATTTTGATGCCCAGACAGGACAGAGCTGGGATCTGAGAAGGGTGTTAGCAAACCCGGGTGATGCTGCACGTAGCAAAGTGAAATCCAGCCACATAATCTCCATGTTTCCATGAATATATAGCTTTCCTCAGAAGTAATCCTGTCTCCATTATGCAATTCGGTTGATGTGGGAAAGTAGCCCTGATGTGCAGGGAGAATGTGGACTCTGGAATCCCAAGAGTCCTGTGTCAGCCAGTACAGTGTGATCTGGGCTGGCCACTCTGGAGATGGGAGGGCAGAGAGAGTAAAGGGTTGGAGGACATGAGCCTCTGCTGGTCCCTGAATGCTGTCTTATAACCCCTGGTGTCCCTTGCATTACAGGCTACGAATCCAGGGCGTGCAGTGACTCAGAGGAGTCCTCTGAAGTGGACTGCGTGCTGGAGCCTCTCTCTGACGGACACGTGCTGAAGCTGGGCCCCTGCAGACCGCTCGTAAAAGAGGAGCAGCCTCCTGGGGACAGCCCCATGCCTGAGATGGCCAGGAGGGGCCCAAGCACCTCCGGGGCCAGCAGCATGACAGACAGTGCTGAGTCCGAGGCTTCTGACTCTGCCAACACTGAGAGCCGAGGCTGTAGGACCAGTGGCTCCAGTGAGTCTATGGATGCCCTGGAAGAGGATGACTTGGACACTTGCTCTTCTAGCAGGTCTGGCTTCTTCCACTCTAACTCACCAGGCTTCCCAGAGACTCTTGGTTCCAGCAGCCAAGAGGAGAGAAGCAGGATTGAAACCAATGGCTTCCTGTGTCTCCTGGACTTGGCCCAAAGAGCCAATCATCCATGCCAGAAGACTGAGTTTTCTGAAAGCCCCACTCCTGAGACTTTCAGCTGGGGACCAGAACTGAGTGCAGTCAGGCTGGACCCTAGGCTATATGAGGGCAGCCGAACCGACTACTATAGCCTGTGCTCCAGTGTCTCCCTGGCCAGCCACCTGAGCAACAGCTCAGAGAGCACAGCTTCCCGGCAGGGCAGAGGCCTGCCAGCCTGGGGTCAGAAGGGCTGGACTGAGGCCCAACCCAGCTCTGCTCTGGAAGCCCTGGCCCCGCATCTGCCACTGGCCTTTGAGGACGGTAGCTCAGATGAGGAATACTATGATGCTGCTGACAAGCTCACACCCCCAGACACCCTCTCAGGTGAGCCCTCCCCAGCAGGTCTGTAGCCTCAGCTGACAGCTCCTGAACACCCAGCAGGGGCAGGGACCAAGCTCGAAGCAAAAACACATGGGTAAAGCAGGGTCCTTATTTGAGAAGGCCCATCTGGGCTCAGTGGACCAAGTATTAATGTCACAACTTTAAGTCAGGGCTACAAGGGAGGTTCAGAGAACTATAGGTGAGTGGAGATGGGAGGCACTAATTCAAGAGTGGGAATCAGGAAAGGCTTCCCAGAAGTGGTTACAAATGGGCTGGGCCTTGTGAGCTGGACAGAATTTAATAGAAAAGGGTTTGAGAGCAGTGCTCAGCAGAGGCAAGTGGCTGCATCATTATCAACCCTGATTCTACATTAAATGAGACTTTAATGCAAGGAGAACCCAATAGGCCATTGGTGGCCCCTTAAGAGAATCAAAAGAAAAGGCAGGGGATCTGTTGGTCCTGTTTCTTTCTGGCTCCTCATCCTTTCCTCCACAAGGAGTGTGAGATGTCTTTCCATGTAGAGTGACTTCCTGAGTTGACTTGAGATCCTTGCAGGACACCTAGATATGCACATGCACATACACACACACACACACACACACACACACACACACACACTGCATGCTAAAGAAAAACAATTGGAAATAAGCACACAGACATTGATGGTGACCCAGCAGAAGCTGGGGAAGCTGCAGCCCTTTTATTTCTGTCTCAGCCCTTCCCTGTTGTTCCCTGCCCTCCAACAGTTTCCTGTTGCTGGTGGGAGAGAGGCCAGCTGCTCCTGAGCAGCCCCTATAAGGCCACTCAAGACCCTCTATGACATGACCTCTTTCTCTCTCTCTCTCTGCTCTCCTAAGCCCTCTTTCTGTGTACCTACCACACAGACCTCCTTGCTGTTCTTGAAAAGTGCCAAGTTCTTTCCCACCTCTGGCCTTTGCACATGCTGCTCTTTCCTCCGAAAACACTCCTCACCATGATCTTTGGCTGCTAATTTCCCATCCATCTATCAGGCCCCACCTGGAAATTCACTCCCCCCCCCCGAAAAACTAACCAGACCACCAAGACTAGGGCTATGTTTCATAGCCCACCCTGGGGGCTTCCCACCTAGCACTTAGCACTGCCTATAATTGTCTATTTATTTGTGTGATTTGTGTGTTGCTGTTTCTCTTCCTGACTTAAAAATCAAGAGTTCCTTGGAGTGTAGGAACTGTGTGTTTCATGCTCAGCCCTGTGTCACCAGCACATAGCACCTGGCAATTTTGCTAAATGAAGGAATGACCTCTCCGCCATCTACTGAGTTCATTAATTGACCATTCCCCTAGAAAAGGAGAAACTTAGGAGCAGATTTGCACTGTTCTCCAAAGAACCCAGCCTAACTGCCATCCATGCCCTCAGCTTTGCCCTGCTGGGCCAACCATTGTGTTGGCCAGGATAGTGGCCCAACAGAGACCATCAGTTGGTATTCCTTTACAGGAATCTAGCCAGGGATATAAAGCCCATACAGAACACTTTCTTTTATCACAAGGAGCCAGTGAGTTGCTGGGGAGAGACCCCAGAACTAGGACCACTGAGCCTGGACTCTGCTCTGGTCCCTAACTCACTGTGGGAGCCTCTCCCTTTTTAGGCCTCAGAAACATCTTTGGTGAGTCTGTAGGTGGCCTAGGGCAGCAGCTCCAAAACATGCGTGGGCATCAAAATAACCCAAGGGACCTGGTTTAAATACTACAGCTTCTTAGGTGGTAGCCTCCAAGATTCTGATTGAGGTCTGAGGAGCAGCCTAGGACTTGATAAGGTTTTAAATGAGGTGCAGCCAGATTGGAAACAACTGATCTGAGTATAAGAACCCTCAGATTCTCAAGGGCTGGGATATGATCCTGATTCCTCTGGGTGATTACCTGGACTTCTTTACAAAGTGCTTCTTCGCTCAGAAACATCCATCCTGGTATGCAAAAATCCCTCACATCCACAACTGAGTAGTGACACTTTTTTTTTAATTAATTTATTTATTTATGATAGTCATACACACACACAGAGAGGCAGAGACATAGGCAGAGGGAGAAGCAGGCTCCATGCACCGGGAGCCCGACGTGGGATTCGATCCTGGGTCTCCAGGATCGCGCCCTGGGCCAAAGGCAGGCGCTAAACCGCTGCGCCACCCAGGGATCCCAGTGACACTTTTTTTTTTTAAGATTTTATTTATGGGGAGGGATCCCTGGGTGGCTCAGTGGTTTAGTGCCTGCCTTCAGCCCAGGGTGTGATCCTGGGGTCTGGGGATCGAGTCCCATGTCAGGCTCCCTGCATGGAGCCTGCTTCTCCCTCTGCCTTTGTCTCTGCCTCTCTCTCTCTCTCTCTCTCTCTCTCTCTCTCGTGTGTGTGTGTGTCTAATGAATAAATAAATTAAAAATCTAAAAAAAAAAAGATTTTATTTATGTATTTGAGAGAGAGAGCACATAAGCAGGAGGAGGAGCAGAGGGAGAGGGACAAGCAGACTCTGAGCTGAGCATGGAGCTTGAGCCCATGACCTCAAGATCATGGCCCAAGCTGAAACCAAGAGTCAAACACCTAACTGACTGAGCCACCCAGGTGCCTGGAGACATGACATGTTAAAAAGATGTCAGAGAGCTTATAGAATTGCCAGCAAAGGTGAAGGGCTGGTTTAGACACAGGCAATAACCAGGCATGGGGACTAGGTGACAGGATTCCCCATCATGTTATCAGGGTAATGTCGCTGCAAAAGATGTGCTCTACTTTTATTATTATTTTATTTGTTTAAAGATTTATTTACTACAGAGAGAGAGCCTGATGCGGGGCTTTATCTCACCACCCCAAGATTGCAACCTGAACCAGAAACCAAGAGTCAGACGCTTAACCAATTGTGCCACCCAGGCACCCCTTATTATTTTAAATCTATGTGTTCAAGTGTGAAGTTCTAGGAAATTTGTGGCTGACTTTCTAGATAATAAATCTGGCTACCTGGCTTATTGTGAATAGGGTATAGTCATGAAGAGTTCCAGCAGACTGTAACCATTGGTGAGATTTCATTCCCTGAAAAAAAAATTGGGATGCTGTGACCAAAAGACAATAAAATTATTGTGGACAACCAAGAATCAAAAACTATCTCCTACAATCATCATCCCTATCTTTTAGATGAGCAAATTGAGGAGGTCAAGATTTAGCATACCTAGGGTTACCCAGCCCAGCTAGGATTTGAACCCAGGCAACCCTGAGCCCTGGGCCCAAGCTCTGTAGGTCTCTTTGTATTTCTGCTTTTCATATACTTTTCCTTTCTTGACTCTCAGGGCCCAGAGCTGTTTCTGCTGCAGAAGCCAGTGCCACAAACTCACAGAATAAGGTTAGCACGTGCACCCTTGAGGATGGCCTGAATCCTGGGCCAGATGGAAGAGAACCAAGCAGAAGGGGAGGTGTGAAGAAGTACGCTAAGACACTGAGAAAAAGAAGGTCTTTCCTACAGACTGACTACACCTGTCAAGTTTCATTTCCTCTGGTGCCATCAGCCTCACTGGAGAGTGTGGACGACGTGTGCTACTACAACAGGGAGCCCTATCTAGCCCTCGGTGCACCCTCCCCAACTGTATCCTCTCTGCAGGACATGCACAGTGAGCCTGGCCTCCTGGAGACGAAGGCCCTGGGACTGCTGGGTCCCTTGAGGAAGCCCAAGAGCAAAAGCCCAGCCTCCCGGGTCATGGAGATGGAGCCTGAGACCATGGAAACCAAGTCAGTCATTGACTCTCGAGTGTCTTCTATTTCTGCCATTCGCCTCCGGATTGACCCCAACCATAAAGAGAGTTCTGGGGATGCCCCCCTGACTGCCACTGTTGCTAGTTCCCCAGCGAGTACCCCTCACTGTTCCAACCCAGGTTCATCTGGCCCAGATAATTCTCGGGCAGAGCCTTCCCAAACCTTGTCTCCATTTCAACACTCAGATGGCAGTGCCCCCAAAGAACTCACCCTAGAGCTTGGGGACAGCACTTCCTCCCTCTCCAGTACTGACCCCAACCCAGATAGAGGCTGCCAGGCCATCAGCCCAGGGCTGCATAATGCCTCTCAAGCAGACACACTAGAGCTGGGAGGAGTCCAGTTTGAAACAAGATCAGGATCTTTGTTTACAAATCCTATGCAAGAAACTGCCCCCAAATGCACAGAGCCTTTGTTGTCTCCTCCACTCAGGCCTAGAAGTGGTGAATATGGAATATATTCAGAAGAGAAGATGGCTTCTTTCCCTTCAGAGGAGGAGCAACAAGGACAGCTATCTCTGGGACATGATGGAGAAGTTACAAACAAAAATGGCACTGATTTATTTCATGATGAATCTTGGAAAGATTCAGGTGACTCCAGGGGTGACCTGTCGAATGCTGTGCTACAGACTGGTGTCAGCGCTCCAGCTGGTGCAATAATAGCCTCCCTGTCCTTGAAGTCTCCTGTAACAGGAACTGAGCAGATCCTGCCACATTCCCCCACAGACCCCAAAGGACAGAGCAGAGAAACCCCAAGCCAAACCTGCCAGGCCCAAGAGCAAAAACTCTTGGAAGAGCTGGATTTAGACCCTGATTTCTTGTTTGGGGACCAGACCATTCCATCAGCCTTCCCTCTGGAGGAGGTCAAGGCAGAGCCACTTAACCATATGATAGGGAAAGATACAGCCTCTAGGGACACTACGCAGCAGATCTGTTTTAATCCAGGTCCTTCTCTGCCAAAGCCACTAGCGTGTCCCCAAAAGGAGCCCCACTTAGAAGGCTCAAATCACTGTTCATTGTCAGAAAGCAAAGGCAAAAGCCCTAGCATCTGCCTTCCTGCTGAGAAATCTTTCCTGTGCTTTGCCCCAGAAAGCCATTCTAAAGTTTCTGCCAGTCTCAGGATGGCCACATCTTTGGGGTTTGTGGGTGCGAATGAAACAGTGGCCCCTAGGATTGGGATGGAGCAGTGCAGCTGCCAGTTCTCCTATGCCACGTGCTTCCGTGGCCTGCAGCCAGAGACAGAGGAAGAAGACAGGGACTTGGAAGCACACCCTACAGCCCCCCTCACCTCACCACCCTCTGCAGGAAGCCGGCTGGCCCTACCCTGGAGGCCTGCCCGGACCCACAGCTGCAGTGCCGAGCCCCTGCCGAGGAAGAGCCACATCTGGCCAGAGTACTGCTCCAGGGCTCTGAGACAGCTGAAAGCTGCCCCTGCCAGCACCCCAGAGGGCTTCATCCAACTCAGAGAGAGCTTACTGGAATTACAAGATATTTTAGAAGCTTCCTGGGGGAGTGGGAACAAACATCCCCCGGAGAAGTGCACCTGGCACTTTTCAGAAAGCCGGAGCCGCCTCTGCATGGGTTCCCAGAAACTCCTGTCGAGCTGTCAACATGTGATCAGAATGGACCAGTCCCCTGAAGAGATGCAGGGGGCCGTGCGGTACACCTTCCAGCACCTGGTCCAGCTGGCCGGCCTGTGCTTCCAGTTCACAGACTGCAGCCGCTGCTCCAGTCGGCACAGGGAAGCAGCAGGGAACCTGAGGGATGTGGTGTACGCCTACCATCAATTTGTAGAAGCTGCTAAGCTGACCTGTGAGAGAGGCTACCACGATCTGAGTGTGAAACTCTTGGCCCGTCGGTGCACAGCCCTCACCGCTGCCGTGTTTTGTTTGACGCAGAAGTTCCGGGCATCCGCTGCCCTGTGAGCAGGCTGCTTGCCCAGGCCCCTACCCTGCCCTGGACACTTTCCTGAGAAGCCCCTCCATTCCTCCGCCCACCCCTCCAAAATGTTTACTAGAATATTAAAATAAACTGCTGCTTCATCCTGGCCTGAATCATACAGAGTGATGATAATAAGTTGGAGTCCAAAGCATTCACTCATGGTCATTCAACAAACAGTCACTGGATACACTGCATAAGACAAGTCCCTGCCCCTGGTTAAGATGCTCACAGACCCCCCCGGGGAGTACAGATCAGTAGATTGCCCTCAGTAAACTATGCCCTACCAGGAGCTTATACTGGGGGTGTGGAAAGAAGCAAGAGGAATTCACAAACTATCCCAAGATGACAGGAATTAGGGAGGAAGGTGGCGGTCACTGAAAAAATGGTCTTGACTTCTCCTATCACACTGATTTGGCAATAACTCTCACAGATAGGAATGAATACATGTGACATTTGATAGATTGTACTTTCATAAGGTTTGGCTTGTTGGCCAGGTATTCTTGGCCGCCTTCCCAGGACACGTATAGGCTGCCACTAGGTGGCAGTAAGTTCCTTAGTTGCATGGTGACCCACCTCCAGGAGTGTGTGCTCCATGCTTCCTCTGAAATTGAGGGCACATCTGAATACTGCACCCTTTCTTTTGTTGTAAATATCTAAAACGGCAAACATTAAAGCCCAGAATTAGATTTGCCTTTTTAAGAGTAATATTAGAGCAAAAGAAATATATTTAGTACTTTTCTCACTAATCTCAGTTGAGCCAGTTAATCTCAGTTAATCTTAGTGGGATGTTGGACAAGCTACTTAACCCCTCCATGCTTTGGTTTTCTCTTTAAATATTAATAGTTCCTGCTTTGTATGGTAGAAATCTGGTAAATAATCTAGCAAATAGTAAAAGTTAATAATAACTCCCAAACTTTATGGATGCTTCAACCAGTATGAAACCATTTCTTACATTTTGTTTTCAGACCCCGGGAAAACTGATTTCAAGATACCCTTCGGATGTCTTTTTACCCTGGCTTCTCTGTCCAGGCCAATTCTGGCTGAGATGCTCACATTGGGCTACTAAGGTTCATGTAAGGGGTCCCTTTGTCCCTCTGGTACTCCTGATGAGTTGTGGTCTTCACTGGCCCCCTAATTCCTCTCCTTCACCCAGAAAAAGCAGGGAGCAGAATGAGTACCTAAGTACCTAAGATCTTGGGAATCAGAGGAAAGCAATATTTTAGGGGAAGAGAAGATACTCTTCTCACCCCTTGTTACCAGTTACTTGTTAACTAACCAGTTAACCAGTACTCGTGCCAGGAAAAGATGAATTTTCTTAGAGGCCTATTTCTTTTCACACAATATTTTGAATAAAATTTAAATAAGGCTCTTGAACATAGATTTGAAGTGACTTTGTGGCCATGAAAAATAGGAACAATAGTACACTGAAATAATAAAAATTGTATGATGTTAATTAAACAGGACTTGAACACTTTTACCAGCAGAAAGCTCTGAAAAGCTATGCAACTTATTTACATGGACATGATTTATAGGTTCACAAGTTAAAGAGCTCAGGACTTCAACTCAACCAAGGCTTGAATCCTGATAGTGTTGTTATAGTCACTGCTCTGGGCCTCAGTTTCCCCAATGGACAAAAGAAACTATTACTAGTCTCATTTAATGAGGGCCTACAGTGTGCCAGATGCCTTATTTAGATACATTGAATACATTTTCTTATCAAAGGGACAACATCCTGAACTAGAGATCGTTATGTAATACACATTCAGTGTTACTGTGAGAAATAATCATGAAGGCAGGAAGACTGTGAAGCCTCTGGCATAAGTACTCAAATGTTTATTTCTGTCTTTCTTCACTTGCTCTCCCCTCAAATCCATTAACTTTCTTGGGTTGCTACTGTATGGAGTTGGTAGTTTACTCTGCAGTTTCCCTGAGGAGTACTAAGTTCCAGAAGTTCTGGGAAATCCCTCATTGTTGAGAGGCTAAAATGAAGGGTGGGGTGGGGGTGGTCCTGTTTAGCACTTTGAGATACATAGGCCCCTAGATGAAATACGCAGAATGTGACGCAATGCAGAGTCATGTTTAATGACTAAGAAACTAGCAGACATTTGCACTTCTCTATCCTTTTCCCACTCACCATCACATTGGCTGATCTATTTCTTTATAAAAACATTTGTTACACCCATCACAGGTGATGCCTGATGCAGGATTACAGATGTAAATAATTGGATGAGAATCCTGTCTTCAAGAGCTCCTAGTCTAAGAGATAGGATGACATGTAAAGATAGAGACCTATAATATAAGGCACTGTCGGCTCAGGACAATGAAAGAGGACAGATAAGATGCTGTGAGAACTCAAAGAAGAGAAGTCATTTTGGAGTTGTGGACAAAGTAGTGATTGTGGAAGGCTTCCTGTAGGAGGCAGCATTAATGGGAACTACTATGTCAAGAAGTATTTATGGAGTAGCTACTGAGTATCCTGTGCTGGACTTGGCAGATAGGAAGGTAAGTTTGAGATGTGTTAAGAAAGGAGAAAAATCACTCATTTGGTGATTCTATCATCAAACCACGCAGTGGCATTGGGAACCAAACCATCAACATGATAGATGTTCCCTCAGGAACTTAAAATTAGTAAGAAAGACACAGAAAAAAAAAAGATTACTGACAGGTGATATACAGAAACAAAGAGTGCCAAGATGTGGATAGGATGAGCCAATCTTACCTGGGTGATCAGTGAAGACCTCTCTGAAGAGGGAAGGTTTAAGCTGAAGCCTAAAGGACAAGAAGGAGCCAGCCATAGAAAAAGTGAGAGGAAAGGGAACAGTATCTGCAAATCTTTGGTATACTTGAAGCATTTCAAGAAGCTAGGTGTGACTGGACCACAGCAAGCCAGAGGAAGAGTGATAGATGAGGTTGGTGGGGCAGTCAGGAACCAGTCCAGGAAGGCTTTGGGAAAGTTAGACTTTATATCCAAGTACAGTGGGAAGCCACTAGGATTTGGAACAGAGGAGACACATACAATCATCTGGAAAACAGATGTCCACTGTGTGGTGGGATTTGGGGGGTGGCGGTGAAGGGTGGAAGGGGCAAGAAGAGATACAAGAGCAGTGGCAGGGAGTGCAAAGTGCAGGGACCAGTAGGTATGATGGGAGCCACTGAAGACCATCTGAGCCTCTTCCCAAGCCCAGCTGAGTGAAATCCAGGACCAGCTTCTGAGCAGAGAAGAGGTGTTATAGCTGGGTTTTAGGAAAAGCCTTCTGGGAGATAAAGAATGTTTACTTTTAGCATTTAAAAATTGCTGTAGGGGCAGCCCGGGTGGCTCAGCGGTTTAGCACTACCTTCAGCCCAGGGCCTGATCCTTGAGATCCGGAATCAAGTTCCGTGTCAGGCTCCCTGCATGGAGCCTGCTTCTCCCTCTGCCTGTGTCTCTGCCCCCCGCCCCTGCCCCTCTCTCTCTGTGTGTCTCTCATAAATAAATAAATAAAATCTTAAAAAAATAAAAAAAATGAAATTGCTGTAGTAGCCAGTAAAGGACGAACTGAAGGCTTAGGGACAGGGTGGAGGTGTTGGAGGAGCCGTGGGAAAAAAGTCCAGAGAGGGAAACAGTGTGGGGTCAAGGAGGAATCCAACAGGGCTGTGGTATCTTTGGCAGGAGATATTTCCAGCTCATTCATGCTAGGGTCTCTCTGAAAGGGTGAGACCCTGGGAATAAGGGGAAGAGTGAAGAGTGGCTGATAATTTTTATCAGACCAAGGCTTGGACAAGTCTCTTCATGTCTCTGAGCCTCACTTTCCCCATGGATCTGTGAGGTGAGTTGACTAAGGGAGAATGGCCAGAGGCTAGACTCATTAGTTAAGGCCCCAAACCGCGATATTTCTGTTCTCTGCCTGAACAGCCAGGTGGTGGTAAGGGCCCCTGTGTGCTCAGGGAAGGCTGTGTCAGCTGGTGGGTTCTGTGGCTTGTAGAGGAGCCCAGGGGAGGGCAAGGCCCCCCAGGCTTGAAATGAAAGGTGACTCAAGACTGGTTTCAAAAAAAAACAGGATTAAAAAAAAGAGTGGTTTCAGGGAACATCTGGTTGAGCATCTGCCTTTGGCTCAGGGTGTGAAGGGAGGGTCCTGGGATTGAGTCCCGCATCCGGCTCTCCAGAGGGAGCCTGCTTCTCCCTCTGCCTGTGTTTCTGCCTCTATGTGTCTCTCGTGAATCAAATAAACTCTTAAAAAAAAAAAAAGAAAAAAGAAAAAAAAAGGCTGCTTGCAGCCCACTTTCCCAATTGCCCAGTTCTTGACAGCCCTCAAAACCTCTGGTTACCTGCCGCTACCCTGTGAGGTCTGCGAGCGGCTGGGATTGTAACCTCCATCTCACAGCGGGGAAACAGGCTCAGACAGGCGAGGCAATCAATATCTGCGTAAACCATAGGCAACACCCTAGCGTCAGCGCGGGTGGACCGGTGGACTGGACCTCGATGCCAGGGTGAGAACTACAACTACCAGAATGCCATTCGGAGAGGGGGCAGGAACCGGAAGTGAGGCCGGAGGCGGGGCTTGACGTGCGCCGCGGAGGCTGCGTGAGGTGAGGGGTTCAGGTACGCCAGGGGCTCGTTGTGGGGCGGGCGTGGGGTTGGAGGGGTCTGGTTTGGGACTGCCACCTCGTGCGTGGGCGGCACAGTCACCGGGAAGGTACTCTCCACAGTCTTGTGGCCTCGTGTCCTCCACCTTCTTGGTGCTTTCCCTTGCCGCCTGCCCTCACAATTGCAGCCTGTAGGAGAGGCGGGGCCCACAGGTGGGGTACTCTCGGGTCGGGGGTCTGGGTGCTCTAGTGCTGAAGGTGCCAGAGGACTGGAGCCAGCTTCGGTGAACTAAATTTTATTTTATTTTATTTATTTTAATTTTATTTTATTTTATTTTATTTTTTTGAACTAAATTTTAGAAAATGAGAAAAGCGTGCAGAGGCTGGCCCATCACTTAGCGTCCAGGGATATGCTCATCAGGTGGGACTTGGGTGAGGAAAGATCTGAGGCCTCTGCCAACTCAGAGATGGAGAGTGGGGTGGGGAATTGATCAAGTCAGCAAGTATTTATTGAGCGTCTGTTCTGTACCAAGCCTTTTTGTAGGCATACAGGGTAGTGGACAAGGCAAACAGAACACCCGCTTACATGATAGGCATGGAGAAATTCAGATAAAAAGTAAGTAAAACATGTCGGATAATGAAAATCAGAATGAAATGAGGCAGGTAGTCATATAGTTACCTAGGTGAAGAGCACTGGAGGTAGAAATGAGAGCAAGTGCACAGCCCTGAGGTGAGACTATCCTTGGTATGTTAGGAGCAGCAATTCGATCAGAAAGTGCAGAGGACACTTGATGGGGGCGGGGGGGGGGGGAGGCAGACCTTAATGATCAGTATAGGCCATTGTAAGGATTTCAGTTATGAATATAAGTGAAATGGAGAACATTGCATAGTTGTGAGCAGAAGGGTAACATAATTATCAAACATTTAAGATGATGCTTTTCATTCTGCAAAGCTCAGTACTGGTCACTGAGTGTGTGCACCTGAATTCTTTATCGTCTCTTCCCTGGAAGAGCTTATAATGTAGTGGGGAAACAGACCAGCTATGATGCAAGGCTGAGTCAGATAATTGGAGCCCTGTGAAGGCAGAATGGACATCATTCTCAAATCCTCAGCATGCACTGTTATGTTGGGTGCTTAGTAACTGTTACATGATTAGTAACTAATTGAGAAACTCCAGTACTCAGTACTGGACTGTAACAGAGGCTCAGAAAACATCTTTTTTCTTTTTTGTAAGATTTTATTTGTTTTAGAGAAAGAAAGAGCAAGAGCATGGGAGAGGGGCAGAGGAAGAGAATCTTAAGTAGACTCCAAGTGGAATGCCACGCCTGACACAGGGCCCAATACCATGACCCTAAGATCATGACCTGAGCTGAAATCAAGAGTCGGATGCTCAACCGAGTGATTCCCTCAGGCGACGCCAGAAAGCACTTTTTTTTTTTAAGATTGTATTTATTTATTCATGAGGGACAAAGACATAGGGGAGGAAGCAGGCTCCTCACAGGGAGGCCTATGCAGGAGTCGATCTGGGACCCCAGGATAACGCCCTGACATTCAACCACTGAGCTGCCCAGGCGACCCTAGAAAACACTTTTTAATGAAAAAATGAAATGCTAAAACTGGGCATAGATAACATCTCACACAGATAAAGATTTGTTCTTCTGTGATGTCCAATTTCACATTTGTTTTCTGAGGATCAATAGGTAGCAAGCTTCTATTTAATATTTATGGGCTTCCATTTTGTGCCAGACCTTGTGCTGGCCTCTAAAGATACAAAGATGAAGAAGATGTGGTCCCTGCCCAATCTGCTATATTGCCGACTCTTCTGGTAGTGATTGGAATTGCCTTCATTTGATTTTCAATATTGCTGTATCCCAGGTTCCTGAGAAACATCCTCAGGGACTATAGGAACTTGGAGATGTCTGAGATACAAGGAGGGGAATAAGAAGGAGGAAATGGGGATGGTAATGGTAAAATGCAGTTTCGTTTAACAACATTTATTCAAACACTGCTGTTTGCAAGGTTCCGTACTGTGAGTTGTTAGTGTTTATGTAAATATAAGTACACAGTCCCTCCTGCAAAGGAATTCAGTTTGGTGGGAGAGAAAACATGAGCATAGACTTTCCAGTTTTCTAAACAACAGTGGAAAACTCTATAGCCCCTCCAGCTACTCCAACACTGGCTCTCTTTTCTCCTTCCAAGCCAGACTTCTTGAATGAGCTATCTACATCCATTGCCTCCCAGCCATTCCCCAAAAGGCTCTGGCAAAGAGAAGGGGCTCATTGAATATTTATTGACTGAATGAATGGACAAACAGATAAAGATACAAGATGCTGTGGAGTTCAGAGAAGGGAAAGCACTTGGCTGTTAACAAACTGGCATTCATTTAACAAATTGATGTGTTTTCTCACCTTGATAACAATGAGGTTGTTAGGTATTGGACCAGTTTATCCTAAAGTTTTCATTTGTCCTTTTTTTGAATGCCTAAATGTAGAAGAATGCAGATGATGACTCTGATGATTGGCACAATAAGATTTGTCCAGTCATCTAAAGGAATGGTCATAACAGGTCTGGCTATCTTTTCTTAAAAAAGGTATTTATAATGAACATCGCTGTTCATATGTGAACACTGCAGCACTTTGGAAATGTCTAAGAATAATTGGTATTTTCCACATTTCTCTAGAAATAATATGCAGTACTAAATGTTATGTATGCCATAAATTCATAGTGATGCAGTCAATGGTATAACTAAATACATTAAAATTTGTACTGAGTATTAAAGGATTTCTAAGCAAAAGTAAACTTTAGCTTATACAAGAAAATGAACACAAATTTCTAATCTTTAGTTTTTAAAATCTAGAATGTAATTTACTTGGCCATCTTCAGGAATATATCTGGTGGTCATATGTTGTTCACATGATATGTGGTGAATACCCAAAACTTCTCAGAAGCTTACCTTTTTAGAAAAACTAATAGAATAACACCAATTGGGGTTTGAACAGCCTGTATTTCATGTGTAGTTGTTCCATGTCAGGTAAATGAAATATGTGTAGTTCTTGCACCAGTCCTGGCATGTAGTGTTATCCCATCTCATAGAATCGGTGACAAAGAGTTAAGTGTTTTAGCTATTACCCCACTACTCACATGTAGGAAGCTGAGAAGCATGGCTAAATCCTAAGACTGCTGTTTCCACTACAATAACTTATGTTGTCTAAATGAAAAACAAAACTAATATTTGGCCTGATTTTGAGCATTTGATGGAGTACAAGAAAACAAAATGAGCTCTACACTAGAAATGGTTGCTAGGAACAGGAACTGCAGTCAAAACATTAGAGAACAGGGGCATCTAGATGACTGTTGGTGAAGTGTCCAAGTCTGGTTTTGGTTCAGGTCATGATCCCAGGGTGGTGAGATCAAGCTCTGATCCTTCAGTCCGGCTCTGAGCTCAGTGGAGAATCTCTACCTCTCAATCTGCCCCTCCCCCTGCATGTAAGTTGCATGTGTACATGGGCTCCTGAGCTCTCTCTCAAACAAAATAAATACAAAAAAAAAAACATTAGAAAACAAAATAGACACTACTTGGCTCTGTAAGGGGTAATATTTATACAGTTAATGTAAATGCAATTTATTGGTTTACAAAACTTAGAAACAACCAAGGGGATAGACAAAGCTCAAAAGGGTTAAAAATCATGACATAACACAATGTAGAACCTCTCTTGAACATGTAAAATTAAAGTTTCCGCTTACCAAAATTGGAACATTGAAGGAGGAAGAGAGAGGAAGGGAAAGATAAGGCTGTTTTTGTTCAGGGCCTAACCCTGAGGTTGTTGAACAAGAAGTTTAAAGATATTCTTATTAAACATAGTAAAAATATCTTCTGGTAATTATCATGACAGAGGTATGGTATTAGACTTACCTTCCTATGATTGAAAAAAAACTGAAATTAGGTTATATGAAGGAACTGCTTTCAGGCATTGGACAATAGGCAGGACAAGACTGTTATCCTTGAGAGAAATGAATTTGAGATGGATTATAGGCCTAAGTGTAAAAGCTAAAATTATAAAGCTTCTAGAAAGCAACATAGGATATCTTTGTGCTTTTAGGGTAGGCAAAGATTTCTTAAAGGACACAGAAAGCATTAACTATAAAAGAAAAAGAATGATCAATTAGACTTGATTAAAATTTTTAATTTCTGGTCAAAAAAAGAATGTTAGGAAAATGAATAGGCAGGCCACAGATGGGGAGAAAATATTCTCAAATACACATATCTGAAAAAGGACTAATGTCTAGAAATATGATTAACTTCCACAGCTCATTAATAAAAAGATAATTTTAAAATGAACAAAAGACTTGGTCAGAAATCTTACAAAGATATATTATGAATGACCAATAAATTGCCTGAAAAAGTGCTCAATATCAATAACAGTCAAAAAATGCAAATTAAAACACAACTCCGTTCCACTACATAATAATAGCTAAGATTAAGAAATCTATCAACAGCAAATGTTGGTGATGATGCAGAGCATCTGGGAGTCTCCTTCATTGCTGACAGCACTGTAAAATGGTACAGTTACTTTGGGAAACTTTTAGCAGTCTTTTATGAGTTAAATAGGCAACTGTCCTATATGCCCCTCAACTCTGCTGGTAGGTACTTAGCCAACAGATATGAAAACATACATCTACAAAAATACTTGTAAGAGAATGTTCTTAGCAGCTTTATTCATAATAGTCCCAAACTGGAAAAATCTCAAATATCCATCAACAGGAGAATAAACCAATTGTGATTTGGTCATAGAATGGAATTCCACTAATCAATTAAAAGGAATAAACTTAATACGTGAAGCAACATGTATGAATCTCAAAAACATGTTGAGGGGGAAACTGTTAATATCACTGGTTGAATCCATTTATATGATGTTTTATAATAGGCACAGTTAATCTATAGTTATAGAAAAAAAAACAATGGTTGCTTTTGTGTGGTTGTGGGAATGGGATGGAGATTGATTTGGAAAGTGCAGAAGGAAAGGAACTTTCTAGAGTGATAGAAATGTTCCATATCTTGATGAGGGTGTGAGTAACACAGGCCTTATGCTTTTATCAAAAATTCATTGAACTGGTATATTTCTCCCTCACACACATTCCTGAGCTATACCCTTAAAATCTTTGCATTTTACTGTATCTAAATTATACCTCAAGAAATTTTTAAAGGTTGGTGTAACAGAAAAATTAAAAATAAGAGGTGATTTGAATTTTTTATTTTTAAAGATTGTATTTATTTATTCATAAGACACAGAGAGAGAGGCAGAGACACAGGCAGAGAGAGAAACAGGCTCCATGCAGGGAGCCCGACGCGGGACCCGATCCAGGGTCTCCAGGATCATGTCCTGGGCTGAAGGCGGCGCCAAACCGCTGAGCCACCCAGGCTGCCCAGGTGATTTGAATTTAAGTGTTTCATAGGGAGTTGATATAATTCAAAGGTGACGATTTAAGAAATGGAAAGCATATGATTTCATGTTAAGGAGTCAGTTATCAAATGAACTAAAAACACCTGGTTAACAAGTTGCCCCTAGAGGTGAGAGGGGTTGGAGTGAGGATTTGAAAGGAATTACCTTTCATTATAAATAGGGCTTTTTTTTTTTTAATTATATGCATGAATCATATTACATAGATTTACGTTTGCAGAGATAATACTTTTCCAAAGATGGTGGTAGCACCTGGACTCAGGAGCAGCCAGAAGCAATGGACATATTCTTTGTGACACTTAGCTATAGATGGGAGCATTTTTTAATGTACAGCATTCCCAGGGATTTTGAACAGCACTTTGAAATTTTGGCATTGGTTAAGTGTGCCATAGCAGTGGTTCTCCGTATTTTCCTACCTCAGCACTTCTGATGGATATTAATATTCTCAATGATGACTGTGGTTTTCAGCTGCAGTTAAGTTCCCAACTTAACTGAGTTGGGAGAGGGAATAGTTTGGAAAAACAAATTGTGAAACATCACCAGCAACCCAGAAGAATTCTTGGTTGGTTTCAGGAAACTCATTACCATTTTTTGGCTAGCTCTTATTCTCCTAGGATATTTCTAGTATTGGACTTTGCATATAGTAGATACTCAGTAATTGTTTGCTAAAGGAATAGTTTTGAATATAAACTGAAACATAATGGAGGAGGTGGCTTTTGCTATTTCTGTCCCGCCCTCAACTACTACATGGATTTTGAAGAGCACAATAAATGACTGGATTACCTGTGCCACTGCAGCAGTGAATAATCGTTGATTGCTTGGAGGTGTCAGTTTTGTTTGTCTTCTAAGAAGTGGATTCAGTCCTTAGTACTAAAACATTTCTGTGGTGACTCCTTTCTCTGGAAGACACAGATACTTTTGTTTGTTACAATCTGTGTTAATATTTTCCACACTTTTACTCCTTCAGCAACACAGTAACACTCTTTGATACCTCTGTAAGTGAAATAATGTAACATCTCACATAATTATGCCTTTTTCCCACCTGGGTGAGAAGGACAGAAGACTAAGCACATGGACTGGAAATTGGAAGGGAGTGCTCAGAAAACAGACTCACACTTGCTGCAGGAACAAGAAGTCATCCTAGAGGACACAGGTGAAGATAGCATCTCTGAAAGCTTCCAGCTTCTACAGATCGATGTGGAATGCGAGCATCGGGAGGGAGAGACGCTGCCCACAGGCAGTGCAACATGGTGCTCAGTAAGTGCAGCCAGTTGCCTGGCCATTGGCTTTGGGATGATCCTATGTGCCAGAGTCCCCTTGTATAAGGGTAGGTACTAGTAACAGACTAGGAGTGAGTTTGGCATATTCCAAAATTGGATGAATTTCCTGCTAACTGGTTTAAGGTTTCAGTTTCACTTGCTTCATAAGAAGAGTAAATAAAGCTCAAGGGGAATTTTTGATACACCTTGGAAGGATCAGGAAATCTAAAGTCTGCTTTAGGCCCTGTCCCTAATACATTTACTTTGGACACATCACATCTCTTTTTCTGGGGTTCTGCTTTCTCTGAACATAATCCAATCTTTTTCTAATATCTTTTTTTTCTCTCCTAACTTTAAATCTGATTAAAAAAATAATTAACTTTTGAATATTCATTTTCCATTTCAATGCTTACGAAGTTCTCAATTTTGTTTTCTGGATAACATAAGAAAAATGTCCAAAGAAAACAGAGACACTGGGAAAAGATAGTTGCAGCAAAGAAGAGCAAAAGAAAGCAAGAAAAAGAAAGAAGAAAGGCCAATCGTGTAGAAAATTCAGGTAACAATACATCAATACATCAAATTCCTGGTGTAATCATATTTATGTCTTAGCAAACTGGTATCTGCATGTTCCTGGGAGAGTGGGAATATTGTTTTTAAGTAAAAAAACATCTTGGAGGTAGAACCTTTCTATTTTGTTGGGAAACAAAGTATCAAAGCAGAATTTAGGCTGCCTTTCACAAAACTAGTGCACCTATGTGTTTATAAGCTTAGAAGCGGAAGGAATGACAAAATCAGCAGCTAACGTTTACCCAGTGCCTTGTTCTGGGCTCATTGCTGAGATTTTTACATGCATTACCCTAAAGGATAGGTGCTTTTATTATCTCCATTTTGTAGGTAAACTGACCGAGGCTCAAAAGTTAAATAACATGCCCAAGATCATCTAGTAATAAATGAATGGATTGAACTCTTGATTTATACCTGGCAATGTGCTCCGGAGCCCACACTCTTCCCCACTCTGCTGTACCCAAATGAACGAATACATTGCATGAGTTTCAGGTTTCTCTTTGTATGCAAAAAGTACTCAGTTGGCTGGGAGTATTTCTTTCTTACTGAATGTATTCCTTTATTTTCCCACTTTTATTCCTTTCTGATAATTTCACTCTAGGCATCTGCCCCCAGCACAGCAAACGTTTTCTGAGATCCTTAACCAAGGAGAGACTTTTGGAAGCCAAACACTCAGGACCAAGACTCTGTATTGATCTGAGTATGGCCAACCACATGTCTAAGAAGGTAGGACATCCATTAAACTCTGAATTCCTGCTCACATGAGGGAGGTCAATGACCAGTTCCAGCTTCTATAATTCCATAGTAGACCAGCAAAAGTGTTTAGTTTTTTATGCATTAAGCCACTCAGTTCCAAGATGGCTGTTGTTATGAATCAGAAAAAGAATAGATAACTTCTAGTTTAGTTTGCAAAGTTTTATCTTATCTTCTTTTCTGAGCTGTACACTGTTGCCTCTGTGTTCATGGTGTCCCTAGTCTAGATGGAGCCTTTTGTGTTCAGTTCGCCAGAGATGAAATCTGGCTTTCTACTGGGAAGACAAATACTTGCCTGGTTGCATGTTGTGAGGACATGCCCTGGTGGAAGGTCTTCCTACAATGTATGTGTTTTAATGGTTTTCCATTCACCCTATTGTGAAGGAGGGATTCCATGCTAGACTGAAAAAAAAAAAACACACTTGACATTGGACAGATAAGAGTGATAGCAGTTTATTAGTCACCTATACTCAGCCCAGGGAAAGGATGACACTGCATGCCATGTAGGGCCATAGAGGGTTACACTCAGGAACAGATTGAACAACTAGGGGCTGTGGGAGGCAGGTTTTGTAGTGTCATGAGCCTGGGGTACCCCCTTGGTTCCTACAGGAAGATGTGATTGATTTGCTGGGAAAAGTTCCTAGGCTGGCAGGCAATTGAAACTCACTCCTCGCAGATAAGCAGGAACTATGCCTGGTCCCTTTGATAGAAATGACTCTTATCGAAGGGAGCAGAATTGGGAGAACTTTCAGTTGAGTTTTTCAGGGCCCACCTGGTTTCACCAGATGTCTAATTAACACACAGTGGTGGGCCTTCATTTTAGACCTTACACCACAAAACATATTTTTCTGTTTGCCAACATCTCTTGTTGTATGTGCTGGTGTTTGCATGTTTTTCAGAGAAATTAGAAAGACTGAAGATCTGGGGTTCTTACATGGAACCTCTAAGTATAGCCCTCTGAAAAGGTCAACCAAGAATTTTCTACTGTTTATAGTAATTGAGGTATCAGATTAAATCAAACCCAAAGTATTTTTTACTTGGGCAGCCTGGGTGGCTCAGCAGTTTGGCACTGCCTTCAGTCTAGGGTGTGATCCTGGAAACCCAGGATGAGTCCTGCATCAGGCTCCCTGCATGGAGCCTGCTTCTCCTTCTGCCTGTGTCTCTGCCTCTCTCTCTCTCTCTCTTTCTCTCTATGTCTCTCATGTGTAAATAAATAAAATCTTTTTTTTTAAAGTGTTTTTTCTTTTGAACCAAATCAGGCCAGATTGTTTAACTACCTTTCTTAAGGGTGTTGTCTCTGAATCAGGAGGGAAAGTTAAAACTTCCAACCCTAGTAAATCTTCCAGAGTTAGGGAGAAGCTGCCAAGTTTATCTGATGGAGTATTAGAAAATGTATAGTATTCTGACCTTGTTAAAGTAAATAGTAAATAGTATATGGTAAGATTTTAGATAGGAGCTAGAAGAACAATTCCATATATCATATTAGATATATAACAACAGGTCCAGAAGGAGGGAGAGTGCTCAGTCTTTGCATTAACTGACTATTTTTGGGCTAGTGTCATTACTTTAACTTTGATCTCTAAGGCAAGTTCGGTGGGGTGTAACATGCAGGCCCACATATACATACTAGCTCCTAGAGTAAAAGGAGCCCTTCTAGTTTATGAGATTTCCCAGAGTAGCATTCAGTGAACTTACTGAGTAACCATTTGTTGATAATGAATTTAGAAAGAGTGGGCATGTTTCCAAGCTAAGTCATCGGCATTTCTTTGAAGGAATTAAGTAGACTGGCTGGACAGATCCGAAGGTTGTATGGTTCAAATAAAAAAGCTGACAGGCCATTTTGGATCTACCTCACTGGATTCACAACAGACAGTCCCCTCTATGAAGAGTGTTTGAGGATGAATGATGGATTTTCTAGTTACCTGGTAAGCCTCATTTTATGTCTTATTTGAAGTGTCATTTGAAAAGTAGGTTGTGTGCTAATAATAAATTTTTAAGACTTTTTTATATTTTGATATAAAAACGTGTGAAATATTTGTTTTCACTATTGCAATCTAAAAAATGTTAGAACCTCTTATCAGTTCTTATATTTCTAAACTTTCAGCCTTCCACTGCATTGGTGATTGAATATTACCAGTCTCTAGGACTGTATTTTGTATCTTGTATATTGTATGGTAGCCTGTATGCTCCAGGAATGATTGGGGAAAATGCCATGACTCCTTTCTTGGTTATAGTAGTACAGAATTAGGGAACATGAGTTGTGGGGGAAGAGAAAATCCCTATGGAAGTAATGTGGATTCAAGATGAGTTTTAGGGAATACTCAGTTAATTTTTTACATCTTTCCCTAGGGTCTAATGAATGTAGTGATTGTAATACAGGCAGTAGTCCAGATCACTTCCTAAGATGTGCCACTGAATATGTCCTATGTGTTTGTGTTATATATCTGGGACTGGGCTGTGTGAACTTTCCCAGGGAGGTTCACAGAGGCAGTGAGCGTGCAAAGTATCCTGTACGGTCCTACACTGTTAGTTGTGGTCACTGTTACCATCTTAACAGTCTGTTCTGTAATACAACCATTTCTAGCTTTTCTTCTCTACAAGTGTTTTATGATTCTTTTATGTGAGCCCATCAGGCCCACTCTTAGGGCTGCGACAGGCCCACTCTTAGGGCTGCAGAGTTCCCTTGCTTCCCCGTCTTCATGCCTTTCTTCCGCGACTCTCCCCACATTCAGTGCTTCTTCCTTTTGTATGTATCAATCTCACCTCTTCTCAGAAACCAAGTTCCAGCCTTCCCTTCAGTAGAAGGTCATCCCTGGTATTGTCACTCCCTCATCTGTCATCCTGGGGCAGCCTTCCTGTACATCTGTTAGGGCCTCTTGTTGCTTTGTCTCATTTTGTAGGATTGAGTGTCCTTTCTGCTTCCCCTCCCCAGCTGAGCACCTTCTGAGAACAGATTGTCAGACATGTATCTCCTTGATGCACATAGGGGCCATACCCAGCAGAATAGATAGATGCCTGGTAACTAGTTGCTGCAGTGTGGGCTGCATCTTAACCTAGTTCACACTACATTGGATTATTTACATTTTTCAGCTAGACATAACAGAGGAAGACTGCTTTAGTTTATTTCCTCTGGAAACCCTTGTGTACCTGACTCCTGACTCAGAACACGGTATGTACTTGACTGCATGGATTCATGTAGCACTTTGTTCTTAGCCCTTGTTTGACTATTCTCTGTGTCAGAACTTGTTAAAGCCACCCAAGGCGTTATCAAAAAAAAAAAAAGAAAAAAAAAAAAAGAAAAAGAAAAAGAAAAAATAAAAAGGAATGAATATTAATTACACATGTCTTATGGATGGATACATCACTATGCTTTCCATGTTTCCTACAATGTATGCACAGCTGTATAGATTTGGGTCTTCAGCCTCGGCTGGACCTTGTGAGCTACCTGGTAATGTTTCCCAGTTTCCCCAATCAGCTCCTTCCTTGGCCCTTCTTGGATCAATGTTAAATACATATTTTTTTCCAGAAAATTGACTAATTCACATAATTTTCAAATTTATTGGTTTCAAGTTGATCTTAGTATTCTTTTTTAATTATTTCACATTCCTTTGTCATTTTAATTTTGTCTCTTTTCTGGGTCCTCATATTGATTTGAATCAACTACCTTTTTTTCTTGATCAGATATGCCAAAGCTTTGTCTTTTCAGAGAATCAACAAATCTATTACCTTTTGGTTTCTATTTCATTAAATTTCTACTTTTAATCAGTAATAATTCTTTGCTTTTAATTTCTTTGGATTTAGAAATTATAAAACCGATTTGATCTCAATGGCCTTCATTTTTTCATTAGCTCTTGAAGATATTGATCTAAACAAAGTTTACATCCTTGGTGGACTTGTGGACGAAAGCATTCAGAAGGTAAATGTACATTTCAGACCTAACAACTGTATTTTGAAAAGTGGGGCTTACTTTCAGAGGCAGCTGCCCTATCATAACCTTATGCAAAAGGCCTGAAAACTCAAGACTAGGAAGAAAGAACCTATCCTACCTAGCTTGACCCTTCTACTTGTGAAAACTCAAGACTAGGAAGAAAGAACCTATCCTACCTAGCTTGACCCTTCTACTTGTGAAGCTCCCTGTCCTCATCAGCGTTAGCTATCCTGACCTGACAGCCCAGTTGGGAACTGGAATGGGAATGTTTGGTAATTAGATAAATAGCTATTGTTGAGCTCCTTTCTTCTCTCCTCTTTTTATTAGTTCTGCAAGGGTAATTCTGATATGATATTGACCAATGAAATACTGACTCAGCATTCTTACCAGCTAGTTGTTCTTTGTGGGAGAGGAGATTGCTCCTTCTTAGGCCATCTTTTCTGCTGACATAAGACTTACTTCATAATCTCAACATTGGTAGGACAGTCCAGATTTCTTTTGTTGAATTGGAATTTTATTGGAATGGCCTTCTTGTGGAAGAGCCATTTTACTTGCTTGGTGTGTGGCCCTGAGGGGATGGAATTAGGACAAATGAGTGAAAAGCTCAGAGAAAACTGAAAATTTGGCTATCAAGAATTTCCTTTTAACCTGTACTGTCAAAATTAGAGTAGGTTTCCCCAGGATGCATGGAACTCCCTTTGACAAGGATTGTCCATTTGAGGACAGAGCCCACTTAGGAGGGAGGCCATAGAGGATACACCAAGATTGGAAGGAATGTTTAGAGTGGAATGGTTAACTATTGAGGCCCCTTCCCAACCCAAGGATGTTAATTATCCCAGGAATCTAAACCTTTCTCTTTAATCCTCAAATTTTAAGTAGGTAGATGATCTTTCCAGAGCTTCTTACAAGATAGCAAATATAATTTAAACTTCAGTTCATGACTCAGGGACATCTTTAAAGGGATATTAGTTACTGTACTCCGATCCTAAATGGCCTCAGATTTGGGAGGTTTGTTGGGTTCTTACGACTCTTTTCTGCAGTTTCCAGAGCCCTTTTAATTGGGCTGTGTGCTCTCATACCTTAATGCTGTCTTGTTGCTCGTGGTGTATCTGACTTGAATCCTCTCTCTTTTCTGTAATTTGCTGTTGCCCAATGGCAATGGGCTAAAAACTCTAGATATCCAGAACTGCATCTTACTGAGTTAGGGTCAGGAGTGTTCTCTGATTGATTAGACTTCTTGAACTTTTGGATACAGATTGTGGCTGCAGATAGACCTCTCTTTATTTCCTTTTTGGTTGTAAGTAGCAGTAAATGGAAACTAGTGGATAGATGACTCCCAAGGAAGTAAGATGTTTGCTGCACAAGCCATTTCTCACATGGAATAATATTCTGCATTATCTGCAGTTCCTTCCACTCTGCCATAGGCTACTGATTTTTTTTTTTTAAGATTTTATTTATTCATTCATGAGAGACAGAGAGAGAGAGAGGCTGAAACACAGGCTGAGGGAGAAGCAGGCTCCATGCAGGGAGCCTGATGTGTGACTCAATCCCGGGTCTCCAGGATCACTCCCTGGGCCAAAGGCAGCGCTAAACCACTAAGCCACCCGGGCTGCCCAGGCTACTGATTTTTAATACACTTTTCATGTAATTAATGATTACAGATGGAAATTGGAGTGTTGGTAAATGGGGTTTTTCAGTTTGTTATGCATATTACAATGACAATCTTTGTCATTTTTAAAAGGAAAATATTTAACTGTGATTTACAGAAGGTGACATTTCAAAAAGCCCAAGAACATTCTGTCAAGACAGCCCGCTTGCCAATCCAGGAATACATGGTCAGATGCCAGAATGGGAAAAACTATCATTCAGAGATATTGGCCATCAATCAAGGTACTGCTGAATGGCCTACACTTAACATGTGTTAGTTCTGGTGCTACTTCTTTGTGTTGTGTTGAAGTATAAATGGCCCTTGAAGCAACCCTGTCTGACGTGCTCAGATTTTATTGCATACACTTTATGATGGGTATTGTGGCCTCTTAGAGGCATTTTTCATTTTCTTCTTAGATCCCAACTATGTTAAAGGTAGTTGAAATTTTTCCCTTGGCCTAAAATGCCCTGTATTCAACCCATCATTCGACAGTGAATTCCCATTTGTCCTTTAGAATTCAGCCTAGGAGTGTCTCAGCCCCTGCTTGCCCCCTCACAGCCACGTCAGGGGCCCCCCTTGGTGTTCCCATTGTACTATTTTCCTCTCAGTGTTGCAGCACTGTTGGTAAAGGCTCGTTCGTATCTGTGTAGGCTGAGGTCCCTGTGGGCAGTTGGGTCCATGAGTGCTGCAGCGTAGTTTTGTTGAATGAAATATTCCAGAACACCCTTTTCCTCATTAGTCCTTTACTAGTTCTTTTTCCTCAGTGTGGTCACTGTTTTCTTTTTACCCTTCTAACAGTATTTGATATCCTGTCCACATACTTTGAGACCCAAAACTGGCCTGAAGCACTGAAGAAAGGAGTTTCTTCCAGGAAAGGCTACGTTCTTCAGGACTCAGTGGAATGATGGACAGCCTAAGGAGCTGCAGGAGGCAAAGTTGCTGGAGGTGCTTTGACAGAGAAGCAGAGCAGAGGCTGGCGATGGCACACACTTGCCTTTACCTTGACATCCTGGTTCTTCCCTAGAATATAAATTACTAATAACAGGGACCATATTTTATGCTCTTTTCTATCTCCCATAGTGCCTGGCTCATGGGAAGAGCCCAGATATATATTGACTAAGTAAAAAGTTTACATAACAAGGAATTAGCCCTAAACTATATGGCTTTGGATGTATTAATTCATTTTCTATATATCTATTTGTGAAATATCTACTCTTTAGAGATAGCTTAAATAATTATTGTTACATCAAGTTTAATTTTCACTCAACTGTCATCATAAAGTTGTAGTACTTTCTCTAGCCTCCTCTGATGCTGCTCATTTTCCCCAACTCAGTAATATGCTTGACATGTTTCACAGGATTGGCCTGTCCTAACCTAGCCCTGCTTTAAGTCCCTGTAGCATTTCATTCCCACCTTTGGCTCCTACCGTGTCTCCCCTGCTCTGAGTGTGGGAGTGGAGGCTTTCTTCCTAAAGTAGCCTCCTAATAGGACACTTCGTGGGAGTATCTTTGTATCTCTTCTGAGCTTTGTACAAACTAGATTCTTCATATATATTTGTAACTAACGGGTCAAACTGAAAAGCAAAACCACAGTATTTAAGTCTAACTTAAAAATAACCAGAAAATACATTGCTTCTGACACAAGCATGTTGGATCACCTCTCATTACATAAATCTCAGTGATCCCTTCTCTCATGTCTTAGTTATGTACAGTTGCTTCAGTTACTCTGACCAGTTTGGGTTAGTAAACTTGAAAGCTAAATTGTTAGCAAATTCAGAGAATGTATCCTAGATCTCAAAAGAACCAAAACATTACTCCTCTGCTCTGTCCCTTCCCCATCAGAATTTAATTCTTAAGGAGCTATGATCACCTTATAAATTATATCAGTGTTCTTTTCTTAAAAACAGCCAATCTTCAGGAAACATCTTTGGGAATATATAATGCTCCTTGGTCTTTAGCACCATATTGAACGAGTTCTATAATCTTTGTCATCCAAAAGGGCCCTCCTATGGCTAGGCTTCAAGGATAACTCATACTCTCAGGGAGGTCTCTGACCCCAGAACACTGACCTGGATCATCTGCCAGGCTTCATTTTCACCTCTAGAGGCTTAGCTTAAAACACCAAACAGCATGGAAGAATTTCCTCTCCAACTCTATCACCTCTACCATTTTTTAAAAACCTAGGCATCGAGTTTTGGACTTGGCTTCAGAGATCCTCATCAGTAGTTATTTATAAAACATATTTATAGGGACACCTGGGTGGCTCAGTGGTTTAGCGTCTGCCTTTGGCCCAGGGCGTGATCCTGGAGTCCCGAGATCGAGTCCCACGTCGGGCTCCCGCATGGAGCCTGCTTCTCCCTCTGCCTGTCTTTGCCTCTCTCTCTGTCTCTCATGAATAAATAAAGAAAATCTTTAAAAAAATAAAATAAAAACATTTATTAAACAACAAAAAGCTGGACATACCCAAAATATCCTATAATATGAAAATAATGAGATCTATTGCCTTTTTAACAATAATCACATAAGAAATAAATGTTGTTTGGACAGAGTATATTATAAAGTAGTATAAAAAGTAGAATCCCATAATTCCAATTTGAAAAAAATTCACATACACTGTGTCCATAGTGTATTTGCTTCTTTACGTATTCTATATTTTCTTTGATGAACATGTTTTACTATTATCAGAAAATAACTGTTATTTTAACATTTACTTTGGTTTATTATAAAAGCTGCCCTTGAACAAAACTAGAGGAGTTAATGTCAAATAAATGATCGTACTTTTAGTAAACTTTATTGTAAAGAAAAAATACATCATTATTTTATAATGATTTTTCTCACCCACAAGAACATGGGTGGCAACTAGTAACATTTTTATAAAAATATTTAGGACTTTGATAAGACAATATGTACATTCACATTTTGTCTTCTGAAAGTTTAATGGGGAGAGAGTCCCCTGAAAAACTTTTCCCCAGGAAACCCATAGTCTCTTGGGTCAATTGACCCATAAAAAAATTCCATCTAACTTTCTGCCAATCTGGAGAAAATCTGTTTTCTCTGATCTGCTGTCATGTGTTCACAAGCTTCTAAAATGTTTGCCAAAATTAAGGTCTGCTGAATGGTCTTTGCCTTAACCCATATTCTTCCATTCATCCCAAATACTATCTCCAGTGGGTAGAGTTTTCCCACTTCCTGTAGGATTTCACAGTCTGGAGCCAAGAGCCTAGTGAGGAAATGGAAAGAAAATTAAATTTAAGAAGTGTGATCTCACTCTCTTTTAGAAGAAGACTCCTACTTTCTGGACAGCTCTCCATAGTTATTCAAAACCCCATCAACATCATCCAAGAATAAGGCACATGACATTTGCTGCCCCCTTTCATCCAAGCACACTTAGCAGTATACCACAGGTCACAACAGTGGATTATCCTCTACAAAGAAATCAAACTCCTGGGGCACCTGGGTGGCTCAGTGGGTTAAGTGTCTGCCTTTGGCTCAAGTCATGATCCCAAGGGTCCTAGGATCATGCCCCACATTGGACTCTGTTCAGTGGGGAGTCTGCAGCTCTCCCTCCCTCTGCCACCCTTCCTACTCATGGTCTCCCTCTCAAACAAATAAAATCTGTAAAAAAAAAAAAAAATTAGATTCCCTGTGTCACCAACTTTACAAAAACTGTATAAAGTTCTTCCCCAATACTGTCAGAGTACCTTAATTCTAGGCTTTAGAATTCATAGCTTTTTTTTTTTTTTTTTTTAAATCTATGGTGCTAAAAGAACAGTTTAAGCTTATTTCCCTGACAATGTAAGTTATTCCCTGGTATTAAATTCAGTACGTGGAGAGAAGCATTAACTTTCAAACTACAAGGATGCTGCTTGGTTAATAATGCTTCTCTGTCTTGAACTAATTGTCCAAATCTGCAGAATAAATAACAAAGAGAGGCATGCAACGCTGAACTCCGAGGCTCAGGAGTTCTAGGAGTAAAGCTTTTTTAATAGGTAAAGATTTAAACACCTAACAGAATCTATGTCTGGGACTATTAAATCTAGTGGGAGAGAACAGCAGGAGCCTTAATGAGGAGCCTGAAGAGCACATCAGCCTACCTGCATCTGACCCCCATTACTAAAAAATTTTGATTTTATACAATTGTAAATTGCTTCTGTATTCAAATGACTTAGGAGGAAAGGCCAGTGTTTATATTTGGAGGCAGTATATCAGCCGTAAGAACAGCAGATTTTCTGGGAGAGAAGGCCAGACTCCACATCAACACAAAAACTACACTAGATACATGTGAATTTAACATATTCACATGAAGAGAGAATGGGACTAAATGCAGGAGTTTAAAATGGACAATGATTTTTAAATTTGAGGAAATTTAGACATTGTTACAAAGAGTCCAAACCCCAAAGATGAGACAACTTTCCAAAAAGGTAGAATTATAAGAGAGGACAGGTGAGCCAGAAGGCATCAAGACTTACTTTCTAATTAAGCCCAAGGTCACTTTAAAAAGCAGACCGTCCTGTCCAATCACACCCATTCCACTGGCTCGTCCACAGCTGTCAATGCAGACCATCTCTGGTTCCATATCTTTATTAGCAACCACAAACTGGCCATAGATGAGATCTCCAACCTAAAATGAGAATTTAAAACAGTTCATTTCCTCTCAGCAAATCACTCTACAGGTGCTGTTACTGGTTCTTTCTCACAGGCAGCAATGTCAGCCATCTGTATTTCTGTGACTAAGGGACTGTTCTCCAGAATACCCATCAGCCTGGAGTTGAGTCTTTAAAAAGGCAACATGAGGAAGTGTGCCCTCCTTAGACTGGGAGCTATCTCAGAGACAAGAGAACATCCTCAAAGGTTACACCATCCAATATAGTAGCCATTACCCACATGCAGTTATTTAAACTTTCATTTAAATTAATTAAAATTAGACATTTAAAATTAAGTTCGTCAGTTGCATCAGCCACATTTCAAGTGCTCAACAGCTACATTTGGCTAGTTGCTACCATACTAGTCCATGCAGATATAAAACATTAGTGTCATCACAGTTGTTCTATTAGCACTACTCTAGGGAATTTGTGAGATCAAGCCCCACATTGGACTCTGCACTCAGTGTGGCGTCTCTTTGAGATTCTCTCTCCCTCTCCCCCTCCTCCCATTCTCTCTCTCTCAAGTAAATAAATAAATCTTTAAAAAATAAAACCTCAGAGTTGAACTTCAAAATGATGAAACAAAGGGAATGGAGGAGAATTAATTTGTTCTGTTGTGTATCTGCTATTAGTTGGTGACTGGCAACTAAAGAAATAAAAACATTCTTTGTATTTTAGAAGCATTTGGTCGTGGAGGGCAGTGAGGATGTACATATAAATAACAAAGTTCATTTAAGAGGTGCTAAAGTTATAAGAAAGGTGACTGTAGATGAGGGATGGTGTTACCGAGGTGGTGGTGTTTAGCCTGGTTCTCAAAAATGAGATGTTCCATAGGCTAAGGGGACAGAGCAATCCAGATAAAGGGAACAGCATGAGCAAACGTACAAGAGCAGGGACTTATGAATTCAGTAGTGCTATTAAATAGTTTGAGATAGGAGCACCTGGGTGGCTCAGTGGCTGAGCATCTGCCTTTGGCTTAGGTCGTGATCCCAGGGTCCTGGGATTGAGTCCTGCTGATGCAGGTTCCCCACAAGGAGCCTGCCTCTCCCTCTGCCTAGGTCTGTGCCTCTCTCTGTATCTCTCATGAATAAATAAATAAAATCTTTAGTTAATAAATAAATAGTTTGAGATAGTTCAAGCATAGATACAATTATAGACAAGAAAGGACTTCTGGAGTATAATGCCAATGAAATCTATAGGCTTCAAAGAAATTTTTTTTCCCCTCTTTTGGAGAAAGGAGAGTGTGTGAGGCTGTTGGCTTTTGAGAGGGCAAAAGTGTAGAGGCAGGGATGTTAATGAGGAGGTCACTGACCAAGTCTGGTCAAAAAATAGCTAAGGTCTGAACTTGCAATATGGAGATATACAGGGATGAACATGCAAAACATCAGAGACAGAATCAAAGCTGTTGGGAAATGGTGATGTGACTGAAGTTGTGAGATGCCAGTCAATCAGGATGGATAGATGGCTGATGTGGCAATTTGCACCATCTACCCCTCCTTCTTCCCCAGCCTATGGTTTACTTCCTTGTCCAGTGGATATGGACATAAAAAACAATAGAAAGAACAAATATAACCTTTCAACTCAGTAGAGATGAAACAGCCCCCAATATAGCAAATGTAAAATAAGTATGTGACTCTGGTTAGAGCTGGAGCACTGGAAGGAACTCTTGGGCCCCAAAGTGATTACACACTCAGAGATGACCCCATAGAGCTGGGAAAATAATAGGTCATGCTTAGGAGACAATTTAGGTAGCCTTTTGGTTATTTGAGTGTTTCTGACTATTCTTATGCTTTTCTTCTTTTTTGTAACCAAAAGCTCCCATTGTTACCTGCACATTTGGTCTGTTTCTTTTAGTTGCACCTTCGAATGCCAAGTAAGACAAAGAAGCTGGCTCACTCCCTCCAACATCAACTTTGAAAATATCTCCAGACTTAGCTGTCACTATGCCGATCACATGGTCTCCTTTCACGGGGACATACTGCAGAAGAAAACAGAATGAAAGAACAGTCATAGATGACAATCATTTCCAAGGTATCTTGGAAGATATCTTTAATAAGTCCTTAGTGGTCATTAGATTATTTAAAAAATATTTTGAAATTCAAGTTTACAAATCAATACAAATCAACAACAAATGTGATGTTTCTCTCAGTAAAAGAAAAAAAAAATCACACCATAAACTCTCAGGTTTACAGCTTCTAATACTCTGTTCATTTGGGTCAGTATCCCACACCTCTTGTATCCTTATCAGAACTTCCTAGAGCGGGGATCCCTGGGTGGCTCAGCGGTTTGGCTCCGGCCTTCGGCCCAGGGCCTGATCCTGGAGTTCTGGGATCGAGTCCCACATCCGGCTCCCTGCATGGAGCCTGCTTCTCCCTCTGCCTGTGTCTCTGCCTCTCATGAATAAATAAGTAAAATCTTAAAAAAAAAAAAAAAAAACTTCCTAGAGCTTCTGCTGGCATATGAAGTCCAATGGTACAGGGGACGGGGTCCTTACAACCAAGAACGGCTATTTCATTGCTAGACAAACTTTCCCATATTAAAGTCCTTACCTACTCTAAGAGAAATTTAACTCCCTGTAACATCCACTTATTGAGCCTGGTTCTGGTGCTCCCTGACCTTTGAGGCTCTGTAGGCAATGACCCTGTCTCACAATCCCTATCCTCTTAGACGCCAAGATTTCCAGTCTCCTTTCTCTCCTTCTCGGGCCACGTTCCATTTGTTCACAGTCCCTCTGAGGGGGATGCAGCGGTGCGCACAAGATTACGGTGGCTCTGGACCAGCATTCGCAGAGAAGAGGTCCAGGGCCCCATGCAGAGCGAGGCTATCCCCCTCACGGCCGTACCACCTCTCCGGAGTCCCCCAACTCACCCGTTTCTGCTGTGAGTCCACCCAGTAAACGCCACCGCCGCTGCCGCCGCCGGGCTCCTTGTGACGGAGGCGGCCGCACTTGGTGACCAGTAGGCGGTCGCCACAGCGCCGCAAGCCCGGGCCGCACACGACGCGCCCCCGGGAGCGCGTCCCCGCATTCAGGCGCAGCGGTCGCTCCCCAGCACCCCCTGGGCCTTCAGCGTCCTCCTGCTCCGGCAGCAGCAGCTCCTCACCCGGGAGCACCACCTGATCCAGCACGGTGCGCGCCGCACGCGCCCGGTCTCCCGGCAGAGACTCGGCCGCAGCACCCACCGCCTCAGCCATACCGCGAACCTCCACACGCAACCTTCAGCTTCCGCTTCCGGCCCCGCGTCCAATCGCCAGCCTGCCCGAGGCGTTCCGTTTCCGGTAGTAGCGGTCTGTAGGAACCGAACCACCTACGTCCCTGAAACCTGAGAGCTGTGGGCGGGGGTCCTGCCGAGGTGGCTGCGGAAATATCTCCCGCCGGTCACCTTTCTTGCGGTCTTTCTGCAGATCAGTACGAGAAACACGCGGCTTAAGTCGATGGCAGATACCTCACTTCCGCTGTTTCGGGCTGCCCCGCTGGATACAAGACGCTCCCAAGTGTGGTTCCGTGGGAACCTCGACGACGGAGCCGAGGGGCTTCGGGATTGATCCTTTCCTTCCAAGACTCAGCCCTCTGAAGGAAAAGCATTTTCCTTTTTCTAAATAAAACCTGTTTTTATGGTTGCTAGAGAAGATATCAATTCACACTGTGGAAAACAAAGAGAATAGAAAGAAAATAAGAGGTATTAGTCTTGCCCCCATTTGTCTCTTGCTAGGCCGCCAGATAATTCTGTGTCGCCCAGTCTCTGTCACCTAAATAGATAGGACCTGATGAATCAGTGCATATTGGCATTTTAGTGTGTATTTCCCCGCAGACCTTTTCCCCCTGAAAATATACACATACGCATGCGCATTTTCACATAATTCACCTACCCCTGTATGGCCTGGGGAAATCAGTAACTGCAATCAGATTCTTTTTTTTCTTTTTAATTTTTATTTATTTATGATAGTCACAGAGAGAGAGAGAGAGAGAGAGGCAGAGGCACAGGCAGAGGGAGAAGCAGGCTCCATGCACCGGGAGCCTGACGTGGGATTCGATCCCGGATCTCCAGGATCGCGCCCTGGGCCAAAGGCAGGCGCCAAACCGCTGCGCCACCCAGGGATCCCTGCAATCAGATTCTTGTAGCTACATTCCTTAACACACACTAGTTGACCAGGTGAGCAGTTGGATTCCAAATCCATAGAACATCAGGACTGCTCTTACTTGAAATCCAGGTTCCTCTGTACACCAGGATTTCCACTTAGCGGTTGGTCAAATTCCCCAGCAGGGTTGAGAGCTCCGGGGGACTGGGAGGGTTTGGCTTTGCCTTTCCCTTTGAGGCACTGGCTTCCAACGTGAATTTTTAGTTTTGGGGGACGTTTATGACAGATCATCTCTAACTTATCTTCCATATTTGGCAAAGTGCTGGCAAGCCGACTGAGTAAGAGTATTAAGAGGCCAACTGAAACGTAACTTTTGTTGTTTTGCAGTCAGAGTGTTGTAGAGCCTATCTGGATTGGTTTATCCTGGCAGGAGGGATGGTGCAGATTTTTTTTCCCTCCTCCCACTCCAACCCAGGTCTAGAGGACCTGCAACCAGTAGGTATTCGATGACCAAGGCCGCCTAGATGGTGGCTGGCCCAAGGCCATGCCCAAAGGGAGCTCAATGGCCTCTGGTCTGGGCTGGACAGAGAGGTCGGGAGTGGTCCCAGGATTGGTCCCTCCCGCACCCCATGCTGATTGAGAAGTCTTTGGAAAAAATACTTGGCCCAAACCTGGCTAAAGAGGCCTTCAAAGTCCACCACCCAATAGGGGTGGCACGTGGGTACCTCCTGACTGGTTCTCTAGTCAAGAGACGAAACCCCAAGCTCCAGGTGTGGGCAGTCTCCTAAAGACCCGCAGCTGGGGTCGGAAGTGGCCGGCTGTAGATGTGGGGGCGTGGCTTCCTCCTGACACGCCCCCGGGGGCGGGTCCGGGGGCGGGGCGCGCAGGAAGGTCGCCTTTGGTGTCTCCCCCCGCCCCCACCCCGCCAGCCACGTGCCGCACTTTCCGTGCGTCTGTGCTTCGCAGCTTTGGTGCCCTGCGGCCGCGGGTGAGTGGAAGCGCACCGTGCGGGCTGGCGTGGCGGGCAGGGCTGGGGATGGAGGAGGAGCGCCAGCGTGCGGGTGGGTGGGGAGCCGAGGCCTCCAGCGAGTGTGCAGAGCCCGGCTCCCAGCTGCGGCCACCGACTTCCGCGACATGCGGGTCCCGCCTCGGGGTCCGATGGAGTCCCGGTGACGAAGCTGGCGTTTCCAGAGGGGCGTGCTGCCGTTTCTGGGTGCAGAAGTGGCCGTGGGGCTGGGGAATGCGGAGGAGCCCCGGCCCATGCGGTTAACGCAGGCCTTCCCGGGTGGAGAGAAAGCTTAGCTGTTGGCCCCGGTGTTTGGGTATCCCCGCAGATCCACCCCAGTGACTTAGGCCCGTTCCCTGTTTGGGGGAGGCCGGAGCTGTAAGGGTGACGCTGCCCTCGATGGCTCGTGGCATACACCTCCCCAACCTTCAGGATTCTCTTCCACGAAATTACCAGATGATGTTCGAAAAGGTTGGCAGACTGCAGCCTTCCAGACGATTTCCCAGAACTTCCTCTTTGGAAATCTTTGCAACTTGAGAAGCTGCAAAAGTAGCATTTCATGGTTGCTTTTCTTTGTTGACTGGTGAAATTGGGCCGTTTTGTTTTGCTTGTTTTTTAGGTAGACTCCACGCCCAGCGTGGAGCCCAGCGGGGGCGTAGAGATCAAGATCTGACCTGAGGGCGCCTGGATACCTAAGTCGGTTAAGCATGGGCTCTTGGTTGCAGCTCAGGTCATGATCTCGGGGCTCTGGAATCGAGCTCCGCCTAGGGCTCCGTGCTCAAAGGGGAATCTGCTGCTTCTTCTACACCACCATTGCACACTCTGTCTCTCAAATAAATGAATGAATTAGTTAATAAATGAATTAATAAATTCTTTAAAAAAAAAGACCTGAGCTGAGATCAAGAGTTGGATGCCCAACCCACTGAGCCACCCAGGCAGAGTGGGGGAGGGGGATATTGTTTTTTCCTTACAATCAACAACACTAGTTAAGCATTTGCTCTGAGTCCGGAAGTGAGCTGAGGAGTCAGCAGAATCATGGCTCCTGCCCTGGGAGAGTTCAGTGTCTCCACATGAAAATATCAAGGGTTATGGTGACTGTAACAACTTGATAGGCTGTCAGTCCCAAGGGTAGACAGGACAAAATGGTTACCACTCTGTGGGAGGAAAGTATCAGGATAGGTGTCCCAAAGAAAGTGATAATTGAGTGAACCTTTAAGATTTTTTTGGTCTTTCTCAAATTACAAATGAACTACATGCTGATTTACATTCAGAAATTAAGAGTCTGGGCAGCCCGGGAGGCTCAGCAGTTTAGCACTGCCTTGGGCCCAGGGCCTGATCCTGGGGACCCGGGATCGAATCCCACGTCGGGATCCCTGCATGGAGCCTGCTTCTCTGCTTCTCCCTCTGCCTCTCTCTCTCTCTGTGTCTCTCATAAATAAATAAATAAAATCTTAAAAAAAAATTTGAGTCTACGTAAGTATTGTTAGTCTTTATTTAAATAATTTAAATATAAATGCTTACAATTGTCCCTTATAAGTGAGTCTCCTTGCTACAGATGTTTTTAATCACAAATAATCATGGCAAGTAAAAACTAAAGATGTAAGGAACAGCCATTATTCCTAGCAGTGAGGTAGCACAACTGAGGAAGTCTCTTCCTGCTGTCCAGGACTGATTGAGACTGTTGGAGAGGATGTGTCATAGCAAGAAGTCAGTGGGATCCTGTACCAGTGGAGCTTGCTTAGAAATCCACCCTCCAGGGGTGTCTGAGTGGCTCAGTTGGTTAAGCGTCCCACCCTTGGCTGTAGCTGGTCATGATCTCAAGGCCCTGAGATCAGCCCGAGGCATTGGGCTCTGTGCTTAGCAGAGAGTCTGCTTCCCCTCTCTCTTTCTCTGTGTCCCCCCCCCCAACTCCCCACCATTTGAGTGTGCACATGTTCTCTCTCTCTCTCAAATAAATAAATCTTGAGGGCAGCCCATGTGGCTCAGCGGTTTAGTGCCGCCTTCAGCCCAGGGCATGATCCTGGAGACCTGGGATCGAGTCCCACGTTAGGCTCCCTGCATGGAGCCTGCTTCTCCCTCTGCCTGTGTCTCTGCCTCATATTCTCTCTCTCTCTCTCTCTCTCTCTCTCATAAATAAATAAATAAATAAATAAAATCTTTAAAAAAAAGATTCAAATAAATAAATCTTGAGATGAAATCCACCCTCCAGAACTTGCTGGGACTACTAGGGTTCTGGGGAAAGCTATTCTGGGGAAGTGTTTCCTGGAAGCCTCTGTTAGAAAACTTCCAGATAGGGTCCTAGGGAAAACTGCTGGTTGCTGGGTGCTTCTGGCCACCAAGAGAGGCAGGAGAAGCTGGAGAAGCTGCCATGCTCCAGGAGTATACCAGAATGTACACTGGAACCAGTAAGCAAAATCCATTCTTCCTGAAATGCTTCTTCAGGGTCTTCTACATATAAAGCCTGTCTTTGTGTTAGATTGCAAAGGAAAAATGCTTTAAAGACCCAGATCCGTTTTCTCAGAGCAGGCAGGAAGGGTGAGCTTAGAGCACTTGGCAGTACACTGGTAACTAGCTCAAGGTCTCATGAAGCTGTGAGATCAATGGACTTGTCAGTAACAGCAGTTATGGTAAGAGTCTGCCCAGGTCCAGATGGCTTCACTGACAAATTCTACCAGACATTTAAAGAATACTCATTCTTTACAAATTCAAAAAGAAGAAGAAGAGGAGGAGGAGAAGGGAATACATACTCTTTCTATGAGGCCAGTATTACCCCAGTATCAAAACCAAAGATACGACTGGATAGGAAAACTACAGGTTAATATCCCTCATGAATATAAATGCAAAATCCTCAACAAAATACTAGCAAACTGAATCCAGCAGTATATAAAAAGGATTATACACCATGATCAAATGGGCTTTATCCTAGGAATGTAAACATCTGAAATCAATTCGTATACTATAACAAAAGGACATTATCATCTGAAGATACAGAAAAAGCATTTTAAAAGGTTCAACAGCCTATCATGATTAAAACCCTCAATAAACTAGGATTAGAAAGGAACCTCCTCAACCTAATAAAGAGAATCTACCAAAATCCACAGCTAACCTCATACTTAAT